GTAAGTTTTTTTTTGTTGTATTTTCTTCGTTACTCCAATATTGTGTCCAGAAAGTTATCCTATGCTTTGTATGCTATGTATTTAATGTTGTATGCTCTGTATTTAATGTTGTGTTGAACTATGTGATGTTTTACACAAAGTCACAAACTTTTCGAAAAGTTTGTATTGTAACTATTTTATGAAAAGTTTCAATTGTTTCAATTTTTATGAAAACTTCAGTTTTTATTTATGTATTTATTTTATATTTCATAATATTTTTGGTGTTTTGAGTTTATGCTGAAATTTATGTTGTGTAACTATGTTGTCTTACAATTTTTTAAATTGTTAGTGAAATTTTAGTTATTTATTTCATATTTAATAAATTTTGAAACAATACTTAACATGGCTGATCCGAAAACAAATACCAATGAAACTTTGGATCCATCAAAAGATCCTAGCCTAAAACCCAAATCGAAGATCCTGGATGAAAGTTTGGTTTTTGGCCAGACAAGAATAGTCGAGATTTGAGGGAATGTACACTTTGTGCCAGACGGGTGCATTCCGGAGTTAAATGGTTGAAGCAACGTATACATAGTTGGCGGTTACGGGGATGTTGAAAAATGCACAAAGACAACTCCAGAAATAAGAACTTTGATAGACAATTATATGAAGAGCAAAATGAAGGATAAAGTGCAAGTGAGTGTTGAATTGGATGATGGGGATGATGAATTGGATGAGGATCCTGGCACAAGGATCACCTCGTGCTTCTTCTATTCGTCCAGTTCCTAGTTCTGGAACAATGATCAAAAGAAAGAATGTAGAGTAGTCCACTCTAAAGTTTCAGCATTCACCACCAAAATCAGGTACACCAACTAATTCTGTTGCATCAATGATGAGAAAGTCACCTGAAGAAGTGATTGATGAAAGACATTCTCTGGGTAAGAGTCAACGGGCTCTAGAGGCTTGTACTAGATCCAAAGAAGTGAAGAAAGTCTATGGGCACATTGCTGATTTTATCCATGAGAATGGATACCTTTCAATGTTGCAAACTCAAGAAGCTACGAGATTATGATCGAGTCAATTGGGCAGTTTGGACCCAGACTGACCCCCCCCCCCCCCCCCCCCCCCCCCCGTTACCGTGAATTAATGATGCCTCTTCTCGAGGAAGCCGTGAAAGATACAAAAGTTGAATGAGATACATGAAATTGTTTGGAAGCAATATGAATGTACACTCATGTCGGACGTATGGTCAGATAAAAGGAGTTGACACTTGATCAATTTTCTCGTTAATAGTCTAGAAGAGACTTTCTTCTTAGAGTCAATTGATGCTTCACATGAGTCACAATATGCAAAAATGTTGGCAACATTGCTTGAGATACAGATTCAAAAGACTGGGAAAGAGAATGTTATTCAAGCAGTGACAGATAATGGGGAGAGCTACAAAGCGGCGGGGAAGCTACTAGAGCAGCGTATACCGACACTTTTTTGGATTCCTCGTGCTGCTCACCGTCTAGACCTTATGATAGAGGATATTGAGAAACTCATTGAATTTAAGCCCTAGATTGATAGTGCGAGATGTTGCATGACTTTCATTTCTAGGCATACAAGGATTCTAGGGAAAATCACACTTTTAGTCCCTAAAATAGTCACAAAAATGAAATGTCGAACCTGTATTCCTAAGAGCATCTCCAATGCTATAATGTGTACGGTGCACATGTGGCATGGGTGATAGTCACATAAATATTAGCAAATAAATTATCTATCTCCTTTTTTGAATGATTTTATACATATTTGGCAAGTTTTTCCCTGCAATGTCAACAACAATGTCAACATCTAGACGGTCTCATTGACATTGTGGAGAAAAACTTACCAAAGCTATATAAAATCATTCAAATAAGGAGAGAAATAATTTATTTACTAATATTTATGTGGTTATTTCTCATGCCACGTGTGCACCGTGCACATTTTACCAATGGAGATGCTCTAAGTTTGTAAATGTCGTCCCTCAATTGTCATAAATGCTGTAAATGTGGTCCTTTTAGGGGTGAAATATACAATGTGGGCGAGAGTACATTTCACCCCTTAAAGGACCACATTTACAACAATTTGGACAATTGAGGGATGACATTTACAAACTTGGGAATACGAGTCCGACATTTCATTTTCGTGTCTATTTCAGTGACTAAAAGTGCAATTTTCCCAGGATTCTAAGTGCAACGAGAGAGAGAACATGTGGAAGAGATCTAGTGAGGGCTGGCGTTACACGGTTTGCCACAACATTTCTCACTTTGCAAAGTTTATGTAAATATAGAGAACATTTGAGGAATCTGTTTGTGAGTGATGATTGGAATAATTTGTAGTGTCAAATACAAGAGTGGGACAATGGGTATGTGACACTATTCTTGCTTCTAAGTTTTGGAATGGGAGTGAAGGATTGCTTGAGAGCATCCCATCCATTTTTTGTTGTTCGAAGGATAGTCGATGGGGATGAGTAGCCGGCTATGGCTAAGCTTGCCATGGCTATGAGAGAAGATTTTTTGTTATCCCATCCAATAACAAAATAAATGAATCGGTTGCAAATATGCGTAGAGTGTTGAAAAAACTGATGAAGATTATTGAGGATCGATAGGCAGATCAAATTGAAGTAAAACTATATGGGGATGCTTTACTTCTCAACTCTTCTAAATATTTGACTTGAAAAGGACTAATAATGCATATGCTTACAAGATGGTTGGTGATGATGAGTAGGATGCAAGATTAGTAAACAAGTGGATGATTATGATTTCTTCCAAGGAGAATTTGCAAAGTCATTACCAATCAAACATAAAAAACACAAAGACTCCTCATAAGTCATACCTTGTTACAAAAAGAATAGTATTTAATTTAATTTTTTATGATGTTTGAAATCTGAATTCTAAAAACAATTTTGAATACTATTAGTTGATTGGTGGAATGCTTTTGGTGGTCATGCTTTCGAGCTACAATCACTTTCTTTGGACATAATAGGCCTTTGTTGCTCTTCTTTGGGTTGCAAACGCCATTGAAGTACGTTTGAATTTGTAAGTTACTCAATCCCATTAATGTCTATAGATTTTTAACTACTTACTTCAAAGTATAATAAGTTTTATTTATTTATTTAGATCCACACCAAGAAATGAAATATGTTGGATCATAAGAGATTGAATGATTTGGTGTTCATTCAGTACAATTAGAAGATTGTCAATAGGTCGAAAAAGCAGCATGAAGAAGGAACTAATTTCAATCCTTTGGTTTTATAAGAGTTTTCTTGGGATAATGAATGATTTGATGTTTATGACAGTCATGTTGTTCACCAGGGGGATGATCTTTTATGGGATCAAGTTGATGAAGCTCTTGGTGCTTCAACAAATCTAGATCACCGCAATTGTTGGAGAGGTGATGTTGGTGAAGCTTCAGGTTCACTTAGGGTTTATTCTCGACATCGTAATAATGATACATATGTTGAAGACAATGGTGAAGAGAGTGAACCATTTCCAAATGATGATTTAGATGTCGATGATGAGGATGAAGATGCCATATGGATACCATTCCTAATAGTCAAGCTGACTCTAGATTTGACAATTTCCTTGAGAATGTTTAAGTATTTTTACGTTGGATTATGTTATTTCTATTTTCTAGTTTTTGGATTATGGATAATATTTGTGATTGTTTTGATCATTTATACGAAGCATTATGTTTAAATTATCCATTTGTATTTTTTTGTTTCATATTTATTAAATTATTTAAAAATATACTAAAAATAAATATACAATTTTTATGTAACTATTTTTTTTCAAAGTTACCGATTACACTTTTTTATATCAGTAGTAACATAAAAATTACTCACATATAAGAATTAAAATATAAAAATAGTAACTACATATTTATATTATTTATTATAAATATATTGAAGTCTTTTTTACGTTTTACTCCCTCCGTCCCGAATTATAAGATATTTTTCGGTTTACGATGTTTGACCGACGATAAAGCAAACAGACCCCTGTCTGCACTCAAATTATTTTTAGAAAAAAAATTACATATTCAGAAACTACACTAAACCCGCTACAAAACCTACAAAAAATAATTCAAATTTCATAAAATTTTGATGTATAAAATAAGAGATTAAGAGTGATTTGTGTTGACCAAGTGAATAGTAAAAGTATCTTATAAAATGGGACATAGGGAGTATATCATCATCATCGTCGTCATCATCATCATCATCATCATCATCATCATCATCATCATCATTACCCCAGTGCCGCAAAGGCTCCCACCTACGATAGGGTAGGGGAGGGGTCGGATGTACGCAGTCTTACCCGTGTACTAAAGCATAGAGAGACTGTTTTCGGATGATCCATAGGACAGAGGGAGTATATATAAGAATTAATTTCTTTTAGTTTATATTTTATTTCTTTATTTTGAATTTACCAAAAAATATAAAAATATTTATATTTTATATTTATGATTTATTTTTTATTCCATTTTTTATTTTGTATTTTCATTTTTATTTCTATTTTTTTTTCGTAATTTTGACATTTTTTAAGGGTTGGGAGGGTAAATTGAACGATTCGGTCGGGTTCAGGGGCTTATTTGACCCCCTAAATTGCCACTTCACATGTACAGTTAGCACCCTATCGGGTGACGTGGCGATGACCGGCTTGTGACCTGCTAAAAGTGAAATTTGAATCTTTTTATCAAGTTCAGGTGCTAATTGAAGCTTTTTTGGGTTTAGGAGACAAATTGAGCAATCTGGAAAGGTACAATGCTTATTTCGCCCTTTAGTCTTATTTTGTAGTGGCAAGAAAAAATTATACTACGTACTTCCTACCAATCCTACCTACTATGAAGGATCAATATCTTAGCGGGAAAAATCTTACATTGTCAAACTATTATGTAAATCTTCCCTGAAATATTTTTAAAGGAATTGATCCAAATAGGACTAAAACATAGCTAAAATTCCAAAATAGGACTTGAAGTTCTAAATTTCCTAAATAGGACTCCAGATTACACTTTTACCCTTTATCCCAAAATCACATTCCCCGATTCTCTTCCATGGATTGCTACACACTTGCAATTACAACCAGCCTTCCGTTCCGACTCAGTTGCCATGGACGCAGCTTGAGGGAAATCGACCGATCCCGACCACGAAAATCTCAGCCGTTTGCTCCATGCCGGCTGCCGCCACTTCAACGGTTCCTCCGGCAAAATCAGGTATTCCTCTCCCTCTTCCTCTTCCTCTTTTCTTCTTATTCTTCTTCCGCCTCCTGCACTCTGTTTTCTGTATTTTATATTCATTCACTACCTTTTCAAATTCTAAGTAATTTTTTGGATTTGAAACTTTCAGATTTGATGAAAACCAATTTTTCTTTAAAAAACAAATACCTGATAGGAAATTGTCGTGTTTTAAATGTTATTTATTTATCAAATTTGATCAATTTAAAATATAAGAATGTCATAACTACTTTTTTCAGATAATGTTAGTTTTAGTTAACATAATGTCAGTTTTATGCCACTAACTTTATAAAGATGACATTTGCTAACTGAATTCTCATTTTTTATTGTTTTTGAATTTTTTTATTTCAATTTCCATTTTTTATTTTAATACTATCATAATTCTTACAATACCACAATTTTTTGAAAATGTCACATTTTTTACAAGACATTTTTCTATAAAAATGACATTTTTCTATAAAAAATGACATTTTTCTATTAAAACATGACATCAAGTGTTAAAATATAAGGGCCTGTTTACTAACAGAGATATTTTCCTGTTTTCTACTTCTGTTTTTCCTTCTCCAATTTTCTGTTTTTATTTTTCAGTTTTTCTATCTCCAATTTTCTGTTTCTATTTTTTAGTTTTCCATTTTCAAATTTGAAAACATGTTCATCAATTTTTTCACACAGTTCTCCAGTTTCACACCATTGACCCCTACTTCTACCCTTACCACGATCTTACACTCTACCCATACTCCACCACAACCCTTCATACCCACCCATACCTACTCGTAGGGGTCGCGGTAGGGAAGTTATGGGTGGGGGTGGGTAAGGGGTATGATCGGGGTGGGGTGGTAAGGTCTAGGGGTAGGGGGTGGGTTAGGGTCGTGGTTAGGGTTAGGGGTGGGGTAGTGGGTTGGGGTAAGGTAGGGGTAGGGTAGGGAGTTGGGATAGGATGGCGGGTAGGGTGGGGCCGGGGTAGGGAAGGGGTAGGGTGGGGGGCAGGATGGCGGTAAGGGTGGAGGTAGGGGGTAGGGTTTGGGGTAAGGTAGGGGTAGGGTAGGGAGTTTGGATAGAATGGCGGTAGGGTGGGGTCGGGACCAAGGTGGGGCCGGGGTAGGGAAGGGGTGGGGGTAGGGTTTGGGGTTGGGGTAAGGTAGGGGTAGGGAGTTGGGATAGGATGACGGTAGGGTGGGCCCGGGATCCGGGTGGGGCTGAGGTAGGGTAGGGTGGGGGTGGGGGTGGGGTAGGATGGCGGTACGAGGGTGGGGGTAGGATGGCGGTGGGGTGGGACCGAGGTAAGAGGCATGTGGTAAGGGGTAAGGTAGGGGTAAGTGGTAATATACGAGAGGTGGGGGGGGGGTAGGGTGGGTCGTGGTGGGGTCGAGGTGGTAGGGGGGTGGCGGTAGGGTAGGGTGGATTGAGGTGGGGTCGAGGTGGTAGGGGGTGGTGGTAGGGTAGGGTGGATCGGGGTGGGGCCGAGGTCGGGGCATGTGGTGGGGGGTGGGGTAAGGTCATTATAGGGAAAAATGGGTACGCGGGGTGGGGGTTGGGTGGGTAGGGTAGGGGTAAGGGGTAAGGTACGAGGATGGAGGTAACGGAATGGAATCGACATCGGAGCGGGACCGGACCCACCACTAGGTGTAATTATGCAAATTCATTGCAAAGGCACTGTAACATCTGCGTTTTCCAAATTTGGAAAACTAGTAAAACTCACTTATCCAAATCATTAAGGAAAAGAGAGACATGTTTCATTTTTTCCGTTTTGGAAAACGATTTGGTAAACGCGTTTTTCTTTTTTCCTTTCTCCAGTTTTCCAGGAATTTCTTCGGTAAACACGTTTTCTGTTTTCTGTTTTCCAAAACTGGAAAATATTTCTGTTAGTAAACAAGCCCTAAAATTTTAGATAAGAAATTATGTAATTTTTTAGATGAAAAATAATGGCAATTTGAGGATGAAAATTCTGACATTGTTAGGAAAATATGTCATTTCCAATAACATGTAGTTATGTCATTCTCATATAAGTCATAAGAATGCCATTTTCTTATGGGCATATGACATTTTCAAATTGTCATCCTAATAAAAGATAGTGTCACAAATGTGGCAGTTTTTTTAAATAACCAATAATTTTGACATTCTTAGATTCTCAGGTTGGAAAAGTGACATTTCTCAAAGAAACATAAAAACCAGCCATTTTAAGATTCAATTGATAAATAAAACAAGTTGAATGTTTTAATATAAATTAATCATAATTAATCTAAAATTGAAAATCAAAAGAAGAGAATAAGAACAGAGCAGCTGAGCATGTCTTGATGGAAAGCGACGAAGAAGAAATCAGAAGAACAAAAAATAAGAGAAGAAGAAGAAGAATAGGAATAAGAAAGAGGAGGAGGAGAAGGAAAAGGAAAAGATGGTTACCTGACTTCATCAGAGAATTCCATATGACTTCATCGAAGTGTGCAGGAGGATGAGTGCAGTGGCTTGATGGATGAATCAGCGGTGCGAACATACTAGTTGAGATCATTAAGGGTAGTTTTGTCAGATTAACTCTTTTTGTCCTATTTTTGCAATTCTACTTTCTTTTAGTCTTAGGGTTGGTTTGCAACTCCTTTTAAAAAAGTACTTCTCAGCTTTTGGCTTTAAAAAGCACTTATTTTCCCAAACACTACAACTTTTATTTTTCTCGGCTTCCGCGTCAAAAGTGTTTTTACTTTTTCTATTACACAAAAAGCACTTATTTTACCAAACGCTACCCACTTTTACGTTTCAAAATTACTTTTTTCTCAAACACTATCAACTTTTATTTAATTTCTTCTCTCCATTTAATTAAAAATGCACTTTTTTAAAAATAGAAGCTGTTGCAAACTCTTGTTTTGGAAATTCTCTCATCTTTTTACGACCAAGAAACGTGCAAAATCATCAAACATCTCGACGCGCCATTTCAACCGCTGACGAGCAGAGTACCCACACAGGCAGAACCGCGCTCCATGAAACACTGAAATTAAAGTTCCTTTTTTGAATAACGAATTTGAGGCATGTGAATGGGTAAACGGCCTTTTCATCATTTCTTCGTGATAACTGAGATTTTGGGGAATGAACACAGACGGTTGAGAAGTTATGAGATTGCAGGGAAAACATTCTGCTGGTCATTCCTCCATGAATTGCAATATTGGAAAAGCGGTGCATTGTATTCCGTTTGTCGCGGAAGTGTAATAATATGGACGGATCAAAAGGGTCTAGATTGACCGGCACCGAAGGCGATGAAACGCCGGTGACGGGCCGTATTCCGTCTCCAACTGTGCGACTTGGAAAGATCCAGCCTCAAGCCCCAGGTTATCGAACCGTGTTTTGCAATGATCCTGAAACCACGGCCATAGCAAACTTTAAGGTCTCAGCTTCTTTGACATCTTAATCATAATCGTTATAATGTTATTGTGTGAAATGTCTTCGGATGTCATTTGAGGTGATCGAATTTTTGTTGAGAAGGAATGTGAGCTCGTGGGAATGATTATTTGGTATATTTGAAGTTAAGTTTTAGCGCTCACTGGTCTCTAATGGTTGAATTCCAGGATGATACCTGGAATAAGTGGTTTTTGAATAGCTGGAGGCTAGAATGATGGAAAAGGAAACTAGATAAGGTTTTTTAGGGTCTCAGGTCCGCATCATTCTGTATCTTTATTCAGTTTGATATCATGTATAAAGACATCCATAATCTAAGCAATGGCCTCATAGTAGCAGTGTCTTGCTTGGGGGCCGTGTTAGTGATTTCTATTTTTTCTAGGTCATGTCATCCTTCATATATTATGAGTATGCGCCCATGCATTCTCTATTGGTGGGAATCATAATTCATTTTTGAATTCCATAGGATCCAAATTGACCCTAGATTTTGGAATCGTATAATTCATGTATCAAACTTTATGAAAATTATTACCGTTCGTTAACATGTCATCGCCATTGCATTCAAATAACAATGCAAGGAGTTAAAAATGTGTTTAAATTGCATGCAAAAGAATTACAAATACTTTATAGCGTTTCTTCCTTGTGAAACAAGAAATTTAATGTAGCGATTTAAGAAAATGAGAATGAGGTAGATATTTTAATAGGGTCATATGGGATAGCGTTGGGGCAAAATAGAGGTTTTTGTTAACAAAAACGTGTTTTGAACATGATTGGATCGATTGATTATTTTGTCCAAGGAAATCTAAATTACAGTGTCCAATCAGTACACTAGTTTCCTTACTCTAATTTCATTTCACTTTTGTTTTTCATTTTTAGGGCAACTCTGTATCAACTACAAAGTATGATGTCCTTACTTTTATACCGAAGGGCTTGTTTGAACAGGTATTTTGTTACAAATTATGAAATTACAAATGAAGTAAATATGTAGCTCTTGATGAATCTTACGTCATATCCCACCTATGAAACAAAAATGTTATGCATGAAAAGAGAAATTTGACTTCTCTGTATTAGCTTCACTCTTTAACCAATATTTTTTAAAAATTATTTTTATCGAAGGATAAAAAGATACAAAGTAGGAGGACATAAAACCAAGCCTACTGAAAATATATCATTATCATTTTTATCCCTGGACCCATAATATTGGAACCTGATGCTCTGTTCACCAAGAGTGGCATATGTAATATAAACATGTATATTTGCTCATTGGGCAGTGTCTTAATCTTTACAGTACTTTATAAGCATATGTGTTTCTAATCTTTCCTCTAATTCTGTTTCTCTCACCATTGCTCTTATTGCCCTTCATCATTGCTTATATACATTACACTTGTCAGATGTGAAATGGAAGTGGATTGACCTATTACCTTCAACTTTGCTTTTTTGCTCACTTCTATCTGATATATTGTACCATGTGTTATGCTGACAGTTCAGGCGGGTGGCTAATCTCTACTTTCTAATGATCTCAATTTTGTCATGCACTCCAGTGAGGTATACTTTCTTTTGGGTATATGATGACTGCAGTTTAAAGGAAAACCGTTTAAAACCATACACATGCATATTTTTTCTTGAATCTTAGTATGAATGATGATGAAGGGGAGCCTTGGCGCATCAATTAAGGTGTTGCTGCTAAATGCTGCATGACCATTGACTAAGGAGTCAAAGGTTCAAGTCTAGGGAGCAGTCTCTTGTAAAAAAATTATAAGGGAAGGCTTGCCCCCATACACAGCCTTGCGGTGAGACCCTTCTGCGGACCCTAGCATTGCAGGGATGCCAATGTGCACCAGGCTGCCCTTTTTAGTATATATGATGATACTATGTCAGTATGACATTTGTTTTGGTGCAGTCCTGTAAGTCCAATCACAAATGTGCTTCCTTTGAGCCTGGTGCTTCTTGTTTCTCTTATAAAAGAGGCGTGGGAGGATTGGGTAAGTACCGGTTGCTAATTTTTCCTTATGCACTGGAGTTGATGATTTTGTATTTGAAGTATTTGCTACCTCTAATATATTGGACTATTTTTCTTAATTCAAGAGTCAATTGAAGACAGTCTCAAACAGTCAACTAAAAAAATATAAAATAAGCAGATTCAAGAATCAAGACTCTTTTGGTACCGTGGAAAACAACATTTAAAAATTTACGATTTGAAGATATGTCAGGTGGAAACTGAAATCAGAATTGATTAGCAATAGTGGTAGTAATACAGACATTATATTACTTAGTAGAAGAACACTTGACTTCAAGGTTACAATGATCACACACACATGTATAACACACCGGCAACACATATATCATATCCACATCCTTAAATAGATAACATGTTTACATACTAGGGGCGTTTTGATATTGATAGACACTCACAAAATGAATTTTAAAATAATTTAATACCCTCTCAAGTCAAGTTAGTTTCAGTTAATAATTATCTATTTAAAATAATAAATAGAAGGTAGATAGCTATATAAGGCAGGCTGTTATTTCAGTTGGTTGTAGACTTGGAGATTGGGCATCTCGAATTGTCCCTAGCTTGTAGACCTTCTTTGATTCCTCCCTACTTCAATAAACACAATTCGATCTGTTCTTAGCTTGATTTCTGTAGATTTGCTACAGTTCTACTTAGATTTCTACCAGTGTTCTATCATTGGTATCAGAGCAGTCGTTTCTGGTGACCGGAATTGTTGTCGTAGCACCAGGAATTTCTCATTTCAGTTGTGAATGGTTAGAACGAGAGGAAAAATGGAGAACCGAGTGGATTCGCTGGAGCGAAATCATTAGGAGATGAAGTCAACGATGGATAACATCTTAGCGACCATGGCGGCGATGAATGAACAGCTCCAAACTAGAGGAAGGTCGCGAACGCCACATCAACCTCATACGCAATCATCGAACAGTCCGACAGCCTCCAGAGGTAATTCCGTTCATTCACACCTCCATAATCATCGACGTAGTAATGAGAACACTAGAATTCCCATCCATACTGCTAGGAAGGTAGATTTACCTTTGTTTAATGGCGATGGAGCATATAACTGGATTGTGAGAATGGAGAGGTATTTCCGATTGAATCATATTGAAGAAGAAGATAAAGTTGAAGCATATGTGGTCGCTATGGAGGACAGAGCTTTAAATTGGTTTCAGTGGTGGGAGAATCAAACTGAGCAGAAGAACTGGGAAGCATTAAAGGAATCTGTTATTCGTAGATTCCAACCTGATTTGATCCAGAATGCTTATGGACCTATGTTGAGTCTCAAACAAGTTGGAACTGTGAAGGAGTACAGATATGAATTTGAAATGGTCATTGCACCCCAAAGGAATGTTGATAGGGGGATACTGAGAGGAATTTGTATTACTGGTCTAAAGGAGGAGATTAAGGCAGAGCTGAAACTGTATAATTCAAGGTCCTTATCTGAAATAATAATGGACAGGGCATTGCTGATTGAACAAAGGAATGATGCTATCTACTTGAGGAACAAGGGAGAAGGCAAATTATCTTGGAAGGAGAAGGGACTTGTAACTTCCAAATCTCAGGCATGGGGAGAAGGATTTAAACCCAAAATTGGCAACTCTTGGTCTAATAATACTGGGAAGAGTGCAACAGAGAACAAGAGTAACCAATCTTGGTTTAATCCTGTGGGGAAGAAAGTGACAGAAATAAATCCATCTGGAATCAGAAAAGGGTGGGACCACAGCTATCACAAGAGGAATATCAAGATAGGAGCAGAAAAGGGCTTTGTTTCAAGTGTGGTTAGAAGTGGAATAGGGAACATACTTGCAAATTGAAGAATTATAAATTGATACTTGTAGAAGACTCAAATGTGGAGGAAGAAATAGAGAGAGCAGATGTGGAAATTCCAGAAGAAGATGAAATTATCATGGAATCTAAGTCCATGCAGCTTTCTCTTATGAGTAAAGAGGGGATACCTTCTATGAGGGCTTTCAAGGTTAAAGGATGTTTAAAATGGAATCTGACAGAAGAAATGGTAGAAGTACTCATTGATAGTGGTGCTACACATAATTTTATATCTCAAAAGTTGGTAGACCAATTGAAAATACCCTATAACACCATTAGAGGGTATAAAGTTCCGATTGGTAATGGGGACAAAGTTGCTAACAATGGCAGATGTGAGGGAATGACTCTATACTTACATGAGGCAACAATACTACATGATTTCTACATCCTGGATCTGGGTGGCACAGATTTGGTACTAGGGATGGAATGGTTGACAAGTTTAGGAGATGTCAAAGTCAATTTCCAAAAGGAGTGTATCAAGTGGCAAGAACAAGGGAGGCTACAAATGATTCAAGGGGATCCACACCTAAATTCCCTTGAGGTTTCTTTGAAAACCATGACTCAGATTATACAGGATGCTGGGGATGGATATTTTGTTTATTGTGAAGGACATTATGTGGAATTGAAGAATGAGGGAGAAGGGGAAGAAACCTGGAAACAAATTATGACAGAATTTCCAGAAGTTTCTCAACCCATGAAAAAGTTACCACCTAGTAGTAGGGCATGTGACCATGCCATCCACATCCAAGAAGGAGCTTGTGTCCCAAACATAAGGCCCTACAGGTACCCCCAATATCAGAAGACTTAGATTGAAAGGATAATAAAGGAGATGTTAAGTGATGGTATAATTCAGCCTAGTAATAGCCCCTACAGTAGTCCTATATTATTAGCAAAGAAGAAAGATGAGGGATGGAGGTTTTGTGGAGATTATAGGGCCCTAAACAAGATTACTATACCCGACAAGTTTCCTATACCAATCATTGAGGAACTACCGGATGAACTAAGTGGGGCTATGATCATCTCTAAGTTGGATCTGAAATCTAGTTATCACCAGATCAGAATGAAGGAGGAAGACATGCAGAAAACAACCTTCAGGACTCATGAAGGGTATTATGAATATTTGGTGATGCCTTTTGGCTTAACCAATGCCCCTTCCACTTTTCAGGCTCTTATGAATCAGGCTTTGAGGCCCTTTTTAAGGAAGTTTGCTTTGGTTTTCTTTGATGACATTCTTATCTACAGCAAATCAAAGGAAGAGCATCAGGAACATTTGAGGAGGGTTCTATATGCTTTGAAAGAGAATCAGTTGGTTATTAATCTAAAAAAATGTTCTTTCTGGGAAATCACAGTTAATCTACTTGGGTCATATCATATCTGGTAATGGTGTGGCTGTAGATCCTACCAAGATAGAGGCCATAGTTCTATGGCCAGAACCCAAGGATTTGAAAGGACTGAGAGGTTTTCTAGGATTAACGGGATATTACTGAAGATTTGTGAAAGGGTACAACAAGATTGCTTTACCCCTGACATAACTTCTTAAGGACAATTTCCAATGGGTACCATCTTTGCCAATTATGGCAGCACCAGACTTCAACAAAGTGTTCACAGTAGAGAGGGACAGGTCTTGGAGCTGTTTTGATGCAAGAGGGAAGACCTATGCATATATGAGCAAGGAGTTATCTAAGAGGAATCAGAACAGGTCAGTATATGAGAGGGAATTAATGGCTAGCAGTCCAAAAATGGAGGCCATATGTACTGGGGAGAACTTTTGAGGTTCACACTGATAAAAAAAGCTTAAGGTTTTTGACTGAGCAAAGATTGATGGAGGAGGAACAACAGAAATGGACTTCCAAACTACTGGGGTATAATTTTACCATTAAATATAAACCAGGGGTGGAAAATAGAGCTGCAGATTCCTTATCCAGAAGACCATTCCTAAATTCTTTATCCATTGTCACTTGCCAAGAGTGGGAAGGATGGGAAGAAGAGCTAATTGCGGATCCTAAATGTCAGGCATTAATTTAGAATATTATTTCCCTGCCAGACCAATATTCTGAATTTCAGATTACTAAAGGGTTACACTACCATAAGAGACTGGTGTTACCAAGAGAATCCCATAGAGTCATCAAAATATTGAATGAGTATCATGATTCTGCAGTGTGAGGTCATTCAAGTTATTTCAGGACCATGAAAAGGATTTCTAATTTGTTTTTATTGGCAGGGTATGAGAAGAGATATAAAGAAGTATGTTGATGGGTGTGCTACTTGCCAAACAAACAAATACCCAGCTCTTAAGCCAGCAGGATTACTAGCCTATTCCTCAGAATATATGGACTGATATTAGCATGGATTTTGTTAGGGGTTTGCCTAAATCACAAAGAAAGGATACTATCTTGGTCATTGTGGATAGACTGACCAAGTCTGCCCACTTTTTGGCTCTTTCTCACCCATTCAATCCCAAAGAAGTGGCAGAAGTATTCATAAGGGAACTCAACTCAAATGTGACAGAGATGGCAGATATAGTGTTTTTGAGTACTTTTTAGTCTGAACATTTCAAGATGGTTGGAACTCAACTCAAATACAGCACTGCTTACCATCCTCAGACTGATGGTCAGACTGAGGTAGTCAACACGTGCCTAAAAACTTATTTGAGGTGCCTTACAGGGAGAAAACCCAGACAGTGGGTTAAATGGTTGGCTTGGGCTGAATTTTGTTATAATACCAATTACCATACATCACTGAAAATGACACCCTATAAAGCTTTATATGGTAAGGATCCACCTGTTGTGATTAGAGGGGATGCTACTCTTACAGCTGTGGAAGAAGTCTTTCAATTGACTACTCAGAGAAATGTGATGATTTATGAATGGAAAGATAATTTGGAGAGGGCTCAAAATCAGATGAAACAGCAAACAAACAAGCATAGGAGAGAAGTCCTGTTGGAAGTGGTAGACAAGGTCTATCTGAAGATTCAACCCTACAAGCTAAAAAGTTTAGCTAAAAGACTAAATCAAAAACTTAGCCCCAGATACTATGGTTCCTTTGAGGTTATTGGAAAAATAAGTTCTGTAGCTTTTAAGCTTAAGTTGCCAGAGGATAACAAAGAGGGGAAGATGGAATTGCTTGTACACTGGAAGGATTTACCAAAGTTTGAGGACTCATGGGAATCATTGCAGTCATTGACAGAACAGTTCACAAACCTTCACCTTGAGGACAAGGTGAATTTTCAGGGGGGAGTATTGATAGGCATATGGTGCAACAGCCTATTCAATATTTTAATAGTCTACAATAGGAGGAATAAGAAGTCTGTTATTAGTTAACTAACTAATTAGTTAGTTTCAGTTTATCCCTGCATGGATAATGGCTATAAATAGAAGGTAGATAGCTAAATAAGGCAGACTGTTATTTCAGTTGGTTGTAGACTTGGAGATTGGGCATCTCGAATTGTCCCTAGCTTGTAGACCTACTTTGATTCCTCCCTACTTCAATAAACACAATTCGATACATTCTCAGCTTGATTTCTATAGATTTGCTACAGTTCTACTTAGATTTCTACCAGTGTTCTATCACATTTGAATTTGGGGTAATAGGTGTTTGCACCCCATGTTTAATCCCAATTTTTGATTTTGCATTATTTGCATGTTGGTCTTTGGTTTTGTTCCATGATTTGCATGTTGATCTTTTGATATCAATCATGTAAGGACTAAGGATATGATGCTAGCAAATATCTCAACTTATTGCTGCCATCTTCCATGTATGTGAAGTAATCTTTGATAATGACGGTTTTTAGATTTTTCATCCCATTATTCATTCTTATGAAGATAGCAACATGAATGGCATCTGGCGCACAATATTGACGCTAAAATTATCGTCACGATCCTAAATAGTTGGGATTAAGTTGCCGTTGATGGTTTGACTTTACACCCCATGTTTTTCTTTATTTTGTCATGCACCCAGGAGTGGCTCATCTCTATTAATAATTTGCTTCCATTTTTTAGCCTTTGCATTCTGTAGTTCATCTTAATTTTTGAGTGTGTACCTCACTGGGTGGTGAGTGGTGACTTTTAAGGATGCTTTTACTTGGACTGAAATTTTCAGGTCTGGTCTGGTAAATGTGTGGTCTCTGTATTTTATACCTGTCCAAGTATGGTCTGGTCTGATATGGTCTGGACTGGTCTGGGACTGAAAACAAACCAAGTAAAATCATCCTAAATGTAAACAAATATGAGATGCAAAGTTGAAAGTTGGGGGAAATCATGGGGTGCAAGCACCAAGTTTCCCTTCAAATTTAACTTGAACTTCATATTTGAAAATTGAAACTTGAACTTGAAAAAACTTAAAGTTGAAACTTTTACCTTTGAAACTTGACTATAACCTGAATTTGACTCATATTTACTTGAACTTTGTCCCCTATGATCACCGAGGAATAGACCATCACGTATAACCAAGCTAAGGATGTCCGTGACACACTTAATAAGGTTATATAAGGCAATGAGAGTTCACCGTTACAATATAGTGAAAGTACAAGTTCAGGGTTACAACTCAAAGTCAAATTATAACAAATAAATATCATTAGCACGCTACTGGAGAAGGCATAATATGAATAACTAGGGTCACCCGCCCAAGAATAGAAAACCTGCTGCACACGGAGGAAGTCAACAGTCTTCCAGGTGACCTGAAAAACATGTGAGTAGAACTGGTACCCAACCGTACATATTCCATGTTAGAAGACAAAGCATACCAAAACTCCAAAAATACGACAAATCTAGCATATTTGTATATTTACTCGTAGGCAACCGTACCCAACAAATCAACAATACATATGTCATTTTTTTGTCTTTCAGATACTTAGATCCTACAGTCTATGCGGTAATCCTCATGAAGTTCTTCTTAAATCCAAATGATGGATTTCAACTTGTTTGCCTTGATATGCGTTGACTGAGAATATAGGCTATGGTAGATCCGATATCATGTTAAATGAGATGGTTTGAAAATGTTAAGATTGGATCATTGGAAGATCTGGCAGCTAATAAACACCACTTTCCGAAGAGATGAAAGCATAAGTAAGAGAAACAAAATATCATTAGAGAGTAATTTTCATTACTTTTTACTAAATTCTTGACTTTAAGGCTGAACATGATCACACACATATGTGCACTTATAGGAAGCACCTAGAGCATATCAATACCCTAAGCTTCATTACGTGTTCATACACTTAGGGCATATCGATAGATACACAAAAAACAAATTTTAATTATTGAAGCGAAGCGATGCTATATAGCCTATGATATTTAGATATGTTGGCTCTTGAAGGCATTCCATCTAAAGCATTGTTTATCCATGTAATGTTCTTTATGATCTCGTTTTGTTTTCTGATTGTCATTCTTCCTCTCTTAATGTTACAAACCCTTCATCTTACATGTGGTTAGTGACTTCTAGACACCTTCCACATTTTCCAATTCAATATTCTAAGCAATTGTTATGTTTCAAGAGCTCACACAAATCTTTTCTTTCTTCTTTTGTTTTGGTGAACAGAAACGTTTTCAGAATGACATGTTGATTAATAATGCTCCAGTAGATATCTTGGGAGGCCGGCAATGGCTGAGTGTGCCATGGAAGAAGCTTCAGGTTGGAGACATTGTGAGGGTAAATGCACTGTACAAACGATCTCCTACTTGCTCTTTATTTCTTGTAGTTTTTACTTTTTAGGAGAGAACCTGTTACCTTTATCTATAGCTAACCACAATCTATATGAAATTGTATTATGTTTTTCGTAGATTGATCAGCTACAGTATTCTGTGATGCTTTTGACATATTTGAACATCAAATTGAATAGATTATTTATGATACCGGGTAAATAAATCACGGGGTCTTTTAGGAAAAGGTGAATTGCTGTTGAAAGGAGGAACAAGTGAAGAGCTTAAATAGCTTTGAAAATGGAAACAGTAGGAAAAACGACATTAAATATGAAAAAGATGTTTTAGCTCATCTAAACTACTGTGATTCATAATAGAATTTTTACACACTTGGTTTGAATCATACTTTTAACAGGAGCAGAGTAGCTCATAAATTGTTTACAAAATGGACTTCGTGTAGTGTTATGGGGTATGTGTCCAGATGTTTAGCTTACCAAAGTTTCAATGCATTAATATTGTAATATGCGCACTAGGAGTACATTTACTTTTTGGCAACAAGATTACAGAACTCAAGAACTAATGAGCAATAGGCTCAAGTTTAGCTACCTTCGTATCAAAAGAGTTATCATGATGCTAAATGTGTTCCATAATAAATACATTTAAAGTGAATTACCAAAATAGAATACTTGGAGAATGTTTTTGCAAGGGCAGAATATTGTGATAGACAAAGTAAACAAGAAAATAACATACATACTGAATAGATATCTGCAGCAAATAGAAGCACCTGAAAATTTGTTGCATTTCGAATCGATGCCCCATTTAGTTAGTTTTACTGAGGTTTATTTGTGCTCTATGGCATTGTTACTCTTCTTGCAGGTTAAGCAAGATGAGTTCTTTCCTGCAGACCTATTGTTTCTTGCAAGTACTAATCCTGATGGTGTCTGCTATCTTGAGGTTGTATGGTGTGCATCTGAATAATGTTTTTCTTATTGTCATTGCCTTTTCAAAAGTAATGTCTGTCACCTTTTCCCAACAACAGCATTTGTATCTATTCAACTTAGGCAGGGATAAATTTACTCTGAATTCTAAAATTTAACGAAACATATATTCTAGAGTACTCTTATCCCCTTATTCAAGAATGAAGGTTATGTACAAGAATGTGCCAACTATCGAGGGATTAAGCTTATGAGTCACACCATGAAACTTTGGGAGCGAGTGATTGATCAAAGACTTCGAAGAACTGTGAAGATTTCAGAGAATCAATTTGGTTTTATGCCTGGTCGCTCAACAACTGAGGTCATTCACCTTCTTCGGCAACTTATGGAGAAGTATAGAGACGCTCACAAGGATCTGCATTTGGTGCTCATTGACTTAGAAAAGACTTATGATAGGGTACCTCGAGAAGTTCTTTGGTGGGCCTTAACTAGAAAAGACATATCACGCAAGTATATCAGCGTCATCATGGATATGTATGAAGATTGTACTACAAGTGTCCGTACTAATGTAGGGAGGACCGCGGAGTTCCCTATTACTATAGGAGTGCACCAAGGTTCGGCTCTCAGCCCTTTCTTATTTGCCATAGTCATGGATGAACTTACGAAGTCAATTCAAGATGAAATACCATGGTGCATGATGTTTGCCAACGATATTGTATTGATTGATGAGACGCAATAAGGTCTTAAAGCAAAGTTGGAAGTATGGTGACAAACATTGGAGAACAAGGGTTTGAGACTAAGTCGGAGCAAGACAGAGTACATGGAGTGCAAGTTTGGTGGAGGTAGAAGCAGTTGTAATAGTGGAATTACTCTAGATGGTAAGGAGATACCAGTCAGTGATATGTTCCGTTACTTGGGCTCCATAATTGAGAAGGACGGTGAGTTAGATGGAGATGTATCCCATAGAATCAGAACAGGGTGGATGAAGTGGAAGAGTGCGTCAGGATTTCTATGTGATAGAGGTATGCCGACTAGACAGAAGGGTAAATTTGATAGGACAACAATTAGGCCTGCATTGTTGTATGGCGTAGAGTGTTGGGCGGTGAAACAATGTCACATTCAAAAGATGAGTGTGGCAGAGATACACATGCTGCATTGGATGTGTGGCATACTAGGAAGGACCACGTGAGAAATGAGGCAATCAGACAAAGGGTGGGAGTAGCACCTATTGAAGACAAGATGCGGGAGTCGCGCCTACGGTGGTTTGGGCATGTGCATAGAAGACCGAGTGATGCACCTGTCAGACGTGTTGAGATGTGTGGAGAAGAGGCATGGAAGAGAGGGAGAGGAAGACCCAAACAGATGTGGGTTAGCGGAGTCCGAAGTGATATGCTCCTTCTTGGGTTAGATGAGGGTATGACTTTGGAGAGAGCAAAGTGGAGGGTGGGTATTCGTGTGCAGCAGTTATCTCGTATTATTATGTCCCCTTATCTTTTTTTGTTTTTTGTATTTTTCTTCTTGTTTTTTATTCTTTTATCCTTATATATATAAACAATTTTTTTATCCTTTTTATTTTATCATTTTTAGGTATATTTATCTCTTTTTATATTATCTTTTTATAATAGTTTATTTTTTATCTTTATTTTCTTTGTTTTCCTTTTGGTGGTGATATCATGTATCGATTCATGTTAGCCGACCCCAATATCTCTTGGGACTAAGGCTTGGATGTTGTTGTTGTATATATTCTAGACATACTAAATGCTTATACTTGGCACACTCTCACACATTGTATTGCAGACAGCTAATTTGGATGGGGAAACCAATTTAAAGATCAGAAAAGCTTTGGAGAAGACTTGGGATTATGTGACTCCTGAAAAAGTGGCTGAATTTGAAGGTTTGACTTTCAGCTGCCTTTGCACGTTTTTTTTTATTGTTAATATGTTTGTGTATTAGCATTCGTACATTTTTAATGTCTAGAAAGACATGCGGTCAAGACATGCATTCATAAAAGCCTATAATTTGTATTACACCTATGCGAGTCAGGGTTATTATTTTACTCATAATACATCGGACATTGCTAAAGTGTCCACACACTAAACAAATAGAGAGAGAGAGGGGATTTTTATTATGGTATGAGTTAATGCTGGATTGAACTTCTTAACTTTGGTTGGACTTATATGAATTTAGACCTAATATATGCATTTTACTCTACTTCGACCCATTTCCACATTGATTACACTCCAAGTCTAACACGGTACAAGAGTTGATCTAATTGTCCACTTTGAATGCATTGAAAAGTGTTTACATATCATTAGAAAGGAAAAGGTTTGTGAAGCTATAAGTTCAATTATATAATTAGTTGGAGTGTTGGATTGAACGTTTTAATCTTGTTTTGACCTATATGTGTTATAAACCAATGCATAGGTAGACTACTTCAATCCATTTTTCGCATTGCCTCTGCCTCACCCCAAATTATAACCATCATGTGGGTAAACTTTTAGGATCAAATCAGCTCAATGAAGCACTTATCTATTCATGAGAAATATCATTTATGAAACTGTTATCACCTTATTTTGGTCAAATCATCTAGTTAAGTGTTGGTCTAGTTTGTCTAGGACACGCACATTCATATGTGCTTTTCATTTTATTTTATTTGCTTCTTTTGTGAATGTTGATAGGGAAGGCATGTTCTATACAGAAGCTGTGGGGGATCTCCTTCATAGCATTGCTATCATTGCTCTTTCTATGGCTACATTTTAAGTATTAACTCTAATAAGTTGTCTTCCTCAGACTTGGTGGATTTTGGCTGAGAAAGAGTGACTCGTTTTTGCAGTTAACTTGACCAGGATTTATTGATCGTTGATGGAGATAACACATTAGACATAATTTTGCTGCATCCTAATTTAGCTTAATTTTTAACTTGAAAATTTCATGACATGAACTGCAGTTTAAAATAACCTGGCATATATTCCTTTTGTGAATTGCAGGTGAAATACAATGTGAGGAACCTAACAATTCTTTGTATACCTTCACTGGAAATCTTATAAGTCAAAAGCAAACCCTGCCACTCAGTCCTAACCAACTTCTCCTAAGGGTACAATGTTTCTCTACCACGTATAGTGTCAAGTTTCATCTGATGTTTGCAGTAGTGGTTTAAGAGAAGATACGATATTTCTTGTTCACTTGTAAAGACAAAGAGAACATCTGAAAGCATTTTATTGATGTTCATTATTTGTGCTGGACCATACATAAACTACTATTAATGCTTCATGTTGTATTAGGGCATTAGGCAATGCTTTTTGATTCTTTGTTATCCTTAATCTGACCTTTTCTTAAAGAAGTTTCTGGATTGGTTTATGTACATGAATAATAATCTAGCTTTATACCTTTACAGGGGTGCAGTTTGAGGAACACCGACTACATTGTTGGAGTGGTTATTTTTACAGGGCATGAAACGAAGGTAATTTCTGTGCAAGTGTGTAACTTCAATTTGCAACACTAGCTCTATTACATGATTGTGTGAGAAAGTTTTCTTTGTGAAGTTTCTTTAATCTTATACCAACGAGGTTGTAACAAGCTCCTGATTATATTACCAAATTCGACGCGATTTTCACTATGGGTCATTCGGAAACAGTCTCTCTGTGCTTTAGTGCAGGGGTAAGACTGCGTACATCCGACCCCCCCTTACCCCACCGTATGTGGGAGCCTTTGCGGCACTGGGGTAATGATGATGATGATGAATTTAATTACAAAGATTTCAATTTGTTATGTGCTATGAGTGTGGTTGGGAGATGAAAAGAATAAGATTGAATCAGTAAGAGCAATGTGGATGATGGTAGTGATGGAGTTGGCAGTATTAGTACATGGACTGCAACATCAAATCTGATGGTGGCAGCGGTAGCATCTGACTTTTTTTAGCTTCGCTATCTTCTAGCTCCACGATTTCAATGTAAACAAGCGTTTGGAGCATGTTCCCGTTCCATTGTTCATCGCAACTTTAACATACACCCTTGGCTTGTTTTATAGTTGTATCAACACGGGATAAATGTTTCCACATGGGGCTAAGCGTACGTGCCACAAGGGCAATTTTGGAGAGGAGAATGTTTCTTCGTGGCTGAAGCAAGGCCTTCCACGGCTGCCACACAATACTGTGTTGAAGGAGTAACAACGGGATCAAGTTTCTGTGTCGCAGCAATAAGATCCTCCATGGCAATTGCAATAGCTTTCATTATTTCAGATATCGAGAGTCGAGACATTAGTTCTCTAAGTTCCCTAAAAGTTATTTCCGCTGCATGTAATGAACTGCACCTTGTTGGAGTATTTCATTAATGTGAACCCATCTTTTGTCATTGTTCCTGCTTAAAGAACTGAAGGTGCTAGAAACACATAAACCAAATTATTGTGTCAGAACAGCCAGAGCATAAGGCAAAGTTGTTATTTCTGATTTTTTTAATCGGTAGCCCTTCTCTTTCTCTGATTTATGGCTACTGGTCATCTCTCTGTTTTTCTTTCCACCGGAAAACCAGGAACTATTTGTGGCAGATAGCAGTGAACTGCGATCTTGTACTGGTGGTGTTCCAAGGCGGACTTGTGCCTGGGTTTTCTCTGCAAGAAGTATCTGGTCCGTTTTTTCCTCTGAGTCTTGACATAAGGTTTTGTCAACTTTTCCTTTGGTAAACCCATGGTTTACTAGGAATAGTGACAATGTGTCATACCAAGCTCTAGGAGCTTGCTTGAGGCCATAGAGGGCCTTTCTGAGCTTGTAGACACAAGAAGATTGAGTAGGAATGACAAAACCTGGTGGTTGTTCCACATAGACATCCTCTTCAAGATCTCCATTCAGAAATGCACTCTTGACATCCATTTGGTAGACCTTGATGTCATTGTAGGCAGCATAAGCTAGGAAGATTCTGATGGCTTCCAATCTGGCAACTGGTGCAAAGGTCTCATCAAAATCAATTCCTTCTTCTTGGCAGTATCCCTTGGCTACTAGCCTTGCTTTATTCCTTACAATGTTGCTTTCTTCATCTGCTTTGTTTTTGAACACCCATTTGGTTCCAATGACATTCTGATGTTTAGGTCTAGGAACAAGTTCCCATACTTGATTCCTCTCAAACTGTGTGAGCTCTTCTTGCATTGCATTGATCCAATCAGTGTCTTCAAGAGCTTCTTCTACACTCATTGGCTCCATTTGAGATATGCAACATGTGAACATGGCTTCTCTTCTGGATAGAGATGATCTGGTTTGAACTCCACTAGAGATTTTGCCCAATTACTTGATTAGGAGGATGATCTCTTAACCAAGTTAGATTAGATTCTGTTAATTGTTGCCTGGGTATCTCTGGTTGTTCATCTTCTGTGTCTTCATCTTCATCCTTGTTTATCAGAAGTGAGTTAACAGAAGGGGTTGGAAACACTGGGTTAACTGTGACCTTTTCTGTTGGTTCAGAAGTCTTATCTTCTAAATTGGTTTTCTCCAGCTTTTCTGTTACTTCTTCAACAGAAGTGTTGTCATCGGACTTTACATGTATGGATTCTTCAACATGCAGAGTTCTTCTGTTGAGTACTCTGTAGGCTTTGGTTGTGCTAGAGTAGCCTATAAATATACCTTCATCAGCTTTCTCTTGAAAGACCTTTAGGTGCTCCTTTCCATTGTTGAGAAAGTAGCATTTGCACCCAAATATGTGAAAGTAGTTGATGTTAGGTTTTCTTCCTTTCCACAGTTCATAGGGGGTTTTCTGATGGTTCTTGTGGATCATGCTTCTGTTCTGGTTGTAGCATGCAGTGTTGATTGCTTCAGCCAGTATCTCATTAGTAATCCTGATTCAGCAATCATGGTCCTAACAGCTTGCTTCAGAGTCCTGTTTCTTCTTTCTGCAACACCATTCTGTTGAGGTGTTCTGGCAACATATAGTTGATGAAATGTTCCATTTTGATCACAGAAGTCTTTGATTACTTTGTTGACAAACTCAGTTCCTCTGTCAGATCTAATTGTTCTGACTTTCATGTTCTTTTCAATTTAGAGTTGCTTTAACAGAGATGACAACTTATGAAGAGTTTCATTCTTTTTGGTTAAGAACACTGTCCATGTGTACCTTGAATAGTCATTAACCATGACTAGGGTATATCTTTTTCCACCAACACTTGGAGTTTCAACTGGTCCAAATAAATCCATATGGACAAGATTTAGAGGACTAGTAGATAAATCTCCTGCAATAGGTTTGAATGAATTCTTCACTTGCTTGCCCTTCTGGCAGGCACTGCAGAGGGTCTCCTTCTTGTACACTATGTCTGGTAGACCATCTACAATGTGATATCTTGCTAGTTTGTTGATTGTCTTGAAATTCAGGTGACTAAGCTTCTTATGCCAATCCCAGCTTAGTTTTGAGTCTCCTTTGGCTATCAGGCAAACACCATCTTTTGCTGATTGCCAGTCAACAACATAGATGTTCTTTCTTCTGTTTGTTGTAAGAACCACTTCCTTAGTTGTCTCATGCTTTACATAACAGAAGGCCTTTGTGAATTCAACTGTGTAGCCTTTGTCATAGAACTGGCTAGCACTCAGCATGTTGAACTTCAGACTTTGACATATGAGACATCATCAATGATAATCTGGTTCTTGATCAGCTTCCCTTTTCCTTTTGTTTGACTTTCTTTGTCATTTCCTCCAAAAGTGACTCGGGGTCCATTTATTTTCTGGAACTCTGTTAGGCAACTCTTGTCACCTGTCATGTGCCTGGAGCATCCACTATCAATAAACCATTGGTGTTCTGAGATAGCTCCAGCACACAGTTCCTGCAAAATCAAAAGGAAGATTTAGGTACCCAAGCTATGTTGGGTCCTGGGGGGTAATGGAGTCTTGGTAGTTGGTACCACTTTGGTCTCATCAAGTGAAACCTTGGTGGCTGGTACCCATTATCCACCTGGTAGTTATGATAAACAGCAGCATGATTCACTTTGGGCAGATGCTTGTGAGTTCATGCTTTCTGTTAGCATATTTCTGCATAACCTTCTTTGTTGGAAAGAAGTCCCATATACTATTAAGAGCAGAGAGACGTTTTGCTTTGGGCTTCTGAGGTTGACCAGACAATCTCTTCTGCCTAAAGTTAACTTTCTCTTGATATCTGTCTTTCTGATAGTAGTTTCTGGCATAGTTATCATGAGGGTGTTTGTTGAAGTTTTGCCTTTGATTATTGTTTTTCTGAAAACCTTTTGGATTGTTAGGTTTTCTGCCAGGTTCATTCGTTTTCAAAACCTGTTTTTGTTTGGCCTTTAACTTTTGGTTTTCTGGCCTGACCTTCTCATGAACAACCTTAGTACCAGAAGTACTAGCATGACAGATGGGGCTACAAGTCTGTGGCACTATGACCTTATTAGCCTTAGCATCTTGGGTGCAAGGCCTTACAGAAGGCTCACCAGACTTTGTTTCAACATATCCAAGACCAGGGGTAAGGTTATGAAAATCATCAATGCCCTTTATGGAAGATTGCATCTTCAAAAGGCTATCATATCTGATTTCAAGGTCCTCAATTTCTCTTATTCTTTTTAAAATAGAAACATTTTCAGCTTTCAACTCATCCCTTTCCTTAGTTAAGAGGTCAAGCTTGCACTCAATCTCTTTTCTTAGGTCAGAGATCTCAATCTTAAGCTTACTGTTTTCTTCTTTGACAAAAGAGTAAGTGATCTGGATAGTTTTAAACTCTTCCCAAAACGATGACATTGGATCATCATTTAAGGCTGTGCCTACCGAAGAAGAAATAGAATCAGCTGTAGAGGATACCTCATCATCTGATTGTGCCATGAGACATAGGTCTTCTGTCTCTGTGTATAGGCAACAGAATGCCTCATCAGAGTCAGAGTTGGATTCCGTTTCAGAAAGGGGATCTTTCTCAGCTTGCTCAGTGATCAATGCCTTCCTTCTTCTGGCATGATCTTCATACTTCTTCTCTCCATCCTGTCCTTGTCTTTTGGACACTCTGGGGTGTGGACAGTTGGCTTTGAAGTGACCTGGCTGTCTGCAGTTGTAGCAGAGGAGCTCTCCACTGCTTTCAGAAGGCTTGGTTTTCTGGAAAGGCTTTCTGCTGGAAGATGGACTCCTTCCATCTTTCTTCATGAACTTCTTAAACTTTCTAGCAAAGGCAGCCATATATTCATCAGATAATAAAGTAGAGGGGTCAAAATCTTTTACCTTAGAGGTGCTGGCCGTGAGGGCAACAGTGGTTCTCTCATCTGGCACTTCTTCCTTCTCATCATGCATCTCAAACTCATAAGCTTTGAGATCTGAAATCAGCTTCTCTGTAGGATATGTTTTGACATCCTTGCTTTCTTGGACAACAATCACCTTCATCTTCCAGACTGGGGATAATCCTCTGAGGATCTTTAGGTTGACTGCTTTGACTGTGAGCTCCTTTCCTAGCTCAGAGATCTCACTGGTGAGAATCAGAAGTCTGACATGCATTTCAGCTATGCATTCCTCAGGCAGAAGTTTGAAGTCATCAAACTTCTTCATGGCTATGGTCAGCTTGTTGTCTCTCTCTTGCTCATCTCCAGCTCCTATGAGATCAAGTTTGTCTCATATTTCTTTGGCAGTTTGACACTTCTTGATTCTGTTGAAGTATCTGTTGTCAATGGCCTTGTAGAGGATGTCCTTGGCTATCTTGTCAAGGTTGTATTGTCTCCTCTCTTCATTAGTCCATTCAGATCTGGCCTTTTCAATCATCTGGGGCTGAGTGTTGTCAGTAGCATGTGCAGTGTTCACCTTCATGAATTTGGTGAAGGGTCCTTCTTCTAGGACTTCCCACATTTCATCATGAAGTGCACAGAGATGTGCCTTCATCCGGATCTTCCAGTCATCATACTTCTGATTTGAGAACATAAGATGCTTTGCAAGAGAGTTATCCATAATAAGAATTAAAGAGGCTGAGAACAAGTGAATCTTTGTTCAAGGAGTAACCTAAAAGATTACAAGAACAAGGAGGCTCTGATACCACTTGTTGGTCCCGTTTAAGTAGGGAACAGTCTAGAGGGGGAGTGAATAGACTGTTCAAGTTTTTCAAACTTTTCTATAAGGCAATACTGACTTATCAGAGGTGGTCTGATTCTGGTGACAAAGAAGGTCGAGTTCTGATGTCTGAACTGGACCTGGCAGCGGATAAGAGTTCTGTCCAGGTAGCCTCAGGAAAATACTAAGGCAAATGCCTTTCTGTTAACTCTTAGACCAAGATCTGCTGAACACAGATTCCAAGTTCTTGAGAGTTTTACAGTTAAAATCCTAGGAGCAGATGTTAAGTGCTGAAAGTAAATGACATTGGGGTTTTTATAGTGGTTCAAGGAACAACTTGTTCCTCTAGTCCACTGTTCCACTAAGCTTGTAATAAACCAATTACACCACTTAAGTCCTAGCACGTAAGAAGCACTCCACGTCTTCTTCAAGTCTAGTTGTCACCCGGGATGCTCTTCCTGGCTTCCTGATGACTGGTCTCGTTTCACTGAGTCTCTTTGAAGTATCACCACTTCACTACTCCAGCTACTTTAAGATGTCCTTCTTTGCAAAAGATGTTCTGTAGAAAAACAGAGTTTTTCACCAACTCGCTTCGTCACAAAAGATTTATAACTGAAGTGCTTGAAGTTGTTGAAGAACTGGGGTGGAACTTTGCTCTGAGTTGGAAGGAGGGATAGGAGAATAATATCTTTCCAACGTAAACTTTTCTTGTTTTTGAGGAAGAAGGTGTTAAAATCTCAAGAAAGCTTTGAAGGTGTGAGCAAAAGTTATCCTGTAGTTCTTCGAAGTGTATCTTTTATACTGGAGTTGTCTTCCCGTTGGAGAAGGAGACAACTGCACTGAATGCGCGTACTGTGGAGTTGACAGGTTGGACCCACAAGTTTGGTAGCTTGCTATTTTTGTATAATATTCTCCAGAAATCTCGGTCAATCATCTGCAATTACTCCACAGCGTATCAGACTCATTAAATGAGCATTAAATGCTTTCCTCTCTCTTTTCATGGAAAGTCTTCTAACCGTTAGAGTATTTCCTGTTAGTTTCAAGGCCGTTGGAGGTAGCACCGAAATCTTCTAAGTGTCAGCAAGTCTGATGAAGTTTTCTGAAAACAACTCTGATGTCTGGTTCTGATGGCAACTCTGGTAGCTTCCCTGAAGAGTAGCTCTGGTAGCAACTCTGATCTGAAAGTCCAAGAGGGTCTCTGGCCAGTCGACTATGCTAATACTTACAAAGAAAATTCTAATACAAGATTTCTAAAGGGGGTACTCTAATATTCTAATTAGCCTAGCATCATCAAAATCTAAGTACATTTATTCCTTACACAAAACTACTACCAATAGTAATAATATGAATGCAACTCTAATAAAGGGAATTGGTAATAATAATAATAATAATAATAATAATAATAATATAATTATAACAACAACAATAGTGACAATAGTGATGATAGTGACAATAGTAATGATAAAAATATATAAGAGACACTCCCGTATCATTGTGTTTATTGTTTTATGTATCCTCATATTACATACGTAGTAGTTTTTTGCTATTGATTTCTGCTGTCAATGATGATTTGGCAGGTCATGATGAATGCTATGAAAATTCCTTCTAAACGGAGCACTTTAGAAAAGAAACTTGACAAACTAATTCTCATGCTTTTTTGTGCTCTATTCTGCATGTGTGTCTTGGGATCAATTGGAAGGTTTAAATACTTCTTGAATGCTCCATTTTCTGATGCCCTATTCAATTGAACTTTCCATGTTAATTTAAATTGTATCTCAACATTTACAACATGTGTCATTCTTGAATTTTTCAGTGGTCTGTTCATTAATAGCAAGTATTTTTACTTGCGGTTTGAGAATTATTCTGATCCACAATTCAATCCTACTAATCGTATCATGGTAATGATCAAGATGCTTGCAACATTTTCCGTGTTATGCTGATTTCTCACATACTGCATATAATAACTTTTTTTGCATTTTTGTTATGTTTTTTTGGCTGCACAGGTTGCCACTTTAACTATGTTCACCTTAATTACTCTCTATTCTCCTATTATTCCGATATCTCTATACGTTTCTGTTGAGGTATTTATTCCCTATAGTTTTTACATCATCTTCTTGGCAACTGGCATTATGTTTGCGACAGGTTCAATTTCTAGCTAAAACTGTTTTTTCTTTCAGATGATTAAATTTATTCAATCTAATCAATTCATCAATAATGACGTAAACATGTACCATGCTGAGAGTAATACTCCTGCACAAGCAAGGACATCTAATTTGAATGAAGAACTTGGACAGGTAATGAATGACCCAGGTTTAGAGTATGGGAGATTGTTAAAGCGATTGATCATTACTATTTTTGTACATCTAGGTGATGCTGATAAGAACAGGGTACTCCAGAAAATATGCCAACTTTATTATAGCAATTGTGAATAGAAGAGTCTGAATAAACGGAAGAAGAAATACGGAAGAAAGTTTACAACTTGGAAGCCATTCGAGAGGGCCCCGCTCTCCCAGAACTATCTAAATTCCCGATTCCCAGAATGCTCTTTCTCCCCCTTCCGTCTGCCTTTTATTCTCTTCTTTTTATTATTAATTTACCCTTCTACCCCTCCTGGTGTAAACTTTAGAGAAATCCCTATTGTAATTAATATCCAACCTCTCCGTATTCTCATCATTACCCCCCCCTTTAAAATTCACCTTGTCCCCAAGGTGGAAATTTGGAAACATAGCTTGGAACTGAGACAAATCTTCCCAAGAATCTTCAAATTCTGGTAGATCTTTCCAGCGAATCAATATCTCCTTGCTCCCCTTGGTGTTTTCTCTAGCATCCAGCACTTGTGCAGGTTGTGTTTGAAGTTCCCAGTCCTCAGTCAAACATGCTGGTAGAGGCTGAGTGTGAATATTAGGGGCCACAGCTTTCTTCAGCAAAGAGACATGAAAAACCGGGTGTATCTTGCAACCTTCTGGCAGTTTTAACGTGTAAGCCACTGGGTTGATCTTATCAATGACTTCAAATGGACCGTAAAACCGGGGGCTTAGTTTTTGATTCAGCCTCTTAGCTAGACTTTTCAACTTGTAAGGTTGTATTTTCAAAAACACTCTATCTCTCACTTCCAACTGCACATCCCTACGCCTTTTATCTGCCTGTTGCTTCATTCGATTTTGAGCCACCTCTAGGTTTTGCTTCAATTCCTTGATCATTTCATTGCGATCGGCAGTAAGTTTGGTTACTTCTTCCACTGCAGTTTTTGTTGCGTCCCCTAGAATTACAGTTGGAGGCTCGTGACCATATAATGCTTTGAAAGGAGACATCTGTAATGAGGCATGATAGTTTGTGTTGTACCAGAACTCAGCCCAAGGTAGCCATTGAGGCCATTTCTTTGGTTTGCTTCCAGTGATGCATCTAAGATACGTTTCCACACAACGATTCACCACCTCGGTCTGCCCATCTGTTTGGGGATGGTAGGCAGTACTGTATTTCAGCTTAGTACCTGCAAGTTTAAACAATTCAGACCAAAACAAGCTCAAAAATACGCTATCCCGATCAGAGACTATGGTCTTGGTTAACCTGTCAACAACCACTAAAATTGTATCCTTTCCCATGGTTCGGGGTAGTCCTCCAATGAAATCTAGACTGATAACAGTCCAAATATGATTGGGAATCGGCAATGGTTGTAGGAGTCCTGCAGTATGTAAAGCCTGGTACTTGTTCCTTTGGCAGATCTCACAACTCCTCACATATTTTTGAATGTCTTGCCTCATCCCTTCCCAATACAGGACACTGGCTATCCTTTTCAATGTTCTAAGGTAACCTGCATGCCCCCCACAAGCTGAGTCATGAAATTCTTTCAAAACATGAGTAATTCTTGGAGAATTTCTTGGTAACATGAGCCTGTCTTTATAATAGAGTAACCCAGTTCTCAATTTAAAGCCCGGTTGAGATTCTGGTTGCACCAGCAAGTTCTGAATTAATTTATTGCACCTTGTATCTTGTAACAGTTCCTCCTCCAGGCCTTCCCATTCCTGGAAATTCACTACTGATAAAGCCTGGTAACTGCCCTTCCGGGATAGAGCATCCGCGGCTTTATTTTCCAAGCCCGGTTTATATTTAATACTGAAATTATATCCCAGCAGCTTCGTTACCCACTGTTGTTGCTCTTCACCCATCAACCTCTGCTCTGTCAAAAATTTCAGGCTTTTCTGATCTGTATGTACTTCAAATGTCCTGCCCATAAGGTACGGTCTCCATTTCTGCACTGCCATCACAATAGCTAACAGTTCTCTCTCATAGACAGATTTATTTTGGTTCCGGTTAGATAAAACTTTGCTCATAAAAGCAATAGGCCTGCCCTCCTGCATCAAAACAGCCCCTATGCCCTGTCCAGAAGCATCCGTTTCGATTATGAAGATTTTGTTGAAATCGGGATTAGCTAGGACTGGTAATGAACTCATGGCTTGCTTCAAACCATTAAAAGCAGTCGTAGCCTCTTGTGTCCACTTGAACCCCTCTTTTTTTAAGAGGTCAGTTAAAGGCTTGGCTATTTTGCTATAGCCTTTCACAAATCTTCGGTAGTAGCCAGTTAATCCCAGGAACCCTCTAAGTCCCTTCACCTCCTGAGGCATAGGCCAATCCAGCATATCTTTTACCTTGCTTGGATCAGCTGAAACCCCTTGATCTGATATGATATGCCCCAGGTAAACGAGTTCCCTTTGCCCAAAATAACACTTTTTTTTGTTAACAACTAACTGGTTATCTTGGAGCAACTGTAACACCTTCCTTAAATGTTCACCATGCTCTTTCACACTTCTGCTATAAACCAGTATATCATCGAAAAAAACCAGGACAAATTTCCTCAAATAGGGCTTTAAAATGTGGTTCATCAAAGCTTGAAAGGTTGAAGGAGCATTTGTTAACCCAAAAGGCATTACTACATACTCGTAATGTCCCTCATGGGTTCTAATGGCTGTCTTCGGAATATCACTTTCCTTCATTCGAATCTGATGATAACCTGATTTGAGATCCAGCTTTGAGAATATCTTTGCTTCACCCAACTCATCCAATAACTCTTCAATTACCGGAATAGGGAACTTGTCAGGAATCGTGATTTTGTTGAGAGCCCTGTAATCACCGCAGATTCTCCAGCCTCCTTCCTTCTTTCTGACCATAATTACTGGGCTGCTATAGGGGCTAGTGCTCGGTCTCAGGATTCCATGGTTCAACATCTCCTTCACTAACTTTTCTATCTCATCTTTTTGGTAGTGTGGATATCTATAGGGTCTGGAATTTGGAATAGGGGCTCCTTCCTTGATGTTAATAGCATGATCAAATGCTCTTTTAGGGGGTAAACTGGTCTGCTTCTGAAAAACCCGTGGAAACTCTCCCACAAACTTCTCCCACTCCTCCCCATGTTCCTGTTCCTCTTTTCTGTCTTTCGTCAATTCATAGTGCATGTAGTATCCTTCTCCTTCCTGTTGTAGAACCTTCCAGAGAGTTTTCCAGGATGCTTTGGTTTTGTTTATTGCAGAACTGCCTTTTAACATGTGCTCCCTTCATCCTTCCATTTGATAGATAAGTTGCTAAAATTGGCATTTACCTCCCCGAGACTAGCCAGCCATTCCATGCCCAAGACAATGTCAGTGCCTCCTAACTCCAGTAGGCAGAAATCCTGAGTAATCATCACCTCCTGCACCCATATCTGCAGTTGTTCACATTTCCCTTTATTCATGACATGGTCCCCATTTCCCAGTTCAACCCGAAAACCAGTTCTGGCATTGTAGTTAAGTCCCAAGTCCCTGACCAACTTCTGAGAAATAAAATTATTGGTAGCTCCAGAGTCAATTAAAATTAGGACTGGTTTGTTGTTATTCCCATTCCTGATTTGTCCCATGACCTTGAAAGTGTTGTAGATATTGATCCCTTCCTTACTTAAAAAAGATAACTGCATATCTTGGAGTTCAGCACTCTTGTCCTCCTCCCCTACTTCCGACAGTTCCTCTTCTTCAGATTCATCCACTAACTCCTTCCAAATGAGCTGATAATTCTTCATTCTACAGAGATGCTCTTTGTTCCATTTTTCCCCACATTTGAAACATAAGCCCTTTTTCGTACGATCAAGTAATTCGTTTTGAGAAAGTCTGGGGAGTATGGGTACTCCCTTCCCTTGTTTAGTAGGTCCGTGAGGATTGTCATTCAAGCTTTCTGACTTGTCCTTCTCCGTAATTGGGAGCTTTGGAGTAATAAATTTCCCCGGATTTAGTACTGCCCCATACTGGCCTCTGGAGAGACTTGTACCCTTATTTGTCCATCCTCTTTTGTCTATTAAAATGCCATTCTTCTGTTCAACGAGCTGTGCTATGTCCATGAGTTCAGTTAACTCTCTGGACTTATACAGCTTCAACTCGGCCCTGATTTCTTCCTTGAGACCATTTAAAAACACGCCTTTTAACATCTCCGGATCCATCGATTTGAGAGGAGCTACAACCATCTCAAACTGATCTCTGTATTCCATCACCGAATTGGCTTGTCTAATACGGAGCATAGGACCAAACGGATTTTGAACTAAATCCGGCTGGAAACGGTTAATCAAAGCATCCTTGAAATTAACCCATGAATGGTCCTCTGTGCGCTCCTCCCACCACTGGTACCAGTTCAGAGCCTTTTCGGCCATGGCTATAAGGACTATTTCAACTTTATCCTCTTCAGCTACATGGTTTAGTTTGAAGTATCGTTCAACCCTGATAAGCCATCCATAAGCATCGTCTCCACTAAAAAGTGGTAAATCGACCTTTCTTCCCGTATACACACGGTCACTGATTCGCGCCTGACCTGGAGTACGTGAGACAGAGGTAGATCCGTGAGATTTACCTTCCGAACTAGAAGAAGCCTCACTTGCGGAAGTTTGGCGTCGACGATGTGTAGTCGATCGTCCTCTTCTCCTTCTGCGATTTCCCTGGGTCTCGAGATTTTGCATCTTATCCAACAGCATCTTCAATTTTTCGTTCATCTCCCCCAACTCTGTTCGCATCTCTTCCTTTGACTGTTCAACTGATCGCTCCAAACTGTCCATCCGTTGCTCCATGTTCAGTCGAGTGAGTACCATACACAGGTGTAGGGATCGAGGCTTTGATACCAAATGATAAGAACGGGGTACTCCAGAAAATATGCCAACTTTATTATAGCAATTGTGAATAGAAGAGTCTGAATAAACGGAAGAAGAAATACGGAAGAAAGTTTACAACTTGGAAGCCATTCGAGAGGGCCCCGCTCTCCCAGAACTATCCAAATTCCCGATTCCCAGAATGCTCTTTCTCCCCCTTCCGTCTGCCTTTTATTCTCTTCTTTTTATTATTAATTTACCCTTCTACCCCTCCTGGTGTAAACTTTAGAGAAATCCCTATTGTAATTAATATCCAACCTCTCCGTATTCTCATCAGATGCTCGTATCACTCTCTTCCCCATCTATTTAAATCTTGTAATGCTTTTGACCAAGTGAATGGTGAGTAACTAATTGTAACTTATCTTTGGATAGGTGGAATACATATTTTCAGACAAAACTGGGACACTTACTAGAAACATGATGGAGTTTTTTAAATGCTCGATTGGAGGAGAGGTATATGGCACTGGTGTCAGTGAAATAGAAATAGGCACTTCACAGAGAAATGAGATGGGATTGGGGGTAGGTAAAGCTTTTTTTATGATGATCAATTCTTAAAACGCACAGAATCGAATTAAATGTAGTTTCATTAAAATTATGCCATGAAATTTCAACAGGTTCAGAGATCATCTAATGCAGTTAGAGACAAAGGTTTTAATTTCTCTGATGCTAGAATAATGCAAGGTGCTTGGAGAAATGAACCAAATTCGGATGCATGCAAGGTACTTAGCTACATCCTACAAAAGCTATTGCTTTCTAACGTAGCGAATCTTATTGATTTCTCTTCATTTATTCCTTTATCCTCCTCATTTTTAATGTACAATGAGTAATAACTCGTACGCATGGGCACACTTTATTACATATTCTCCTTGTTGTATAATAAACTAATATTTTGGTTGATATGATGATTTTTAACTCACTACTGCATTTCTGAAGACTGACAATGCGTATGTCGAGAAATAACGAGCCTAAACCTAATAAGAACAGATAGCCTAAACTATAAGCCTAATGGGAATAGTAAACCATAATACTACTTCTGATACTAGGCTTACTATATTCCTATACTTTTGGAACTCAAACTTCTCTTGAATCTAAATTTGTACTTGATCTTGGACATTTTAACTATACTTGAGACTTGAACTTCTCTGAAACTGAAATTTACTTGAATTTGATTGAGCCCACTCAACTGACTCAAGCATCCTCAGCTTGAACTTTTATTCAACTTTAAATTACAAGATATTTTAACCATGAAAATTGAAGTTTTTTTCATTCCCCTTTTCCATTGTTTTTTTCTACTTTTCCGATAGTGCACACAAAAATATGAAAAGTCAAAGTTGCTATAAAACTACTACGTATAAAGTTTTCATCTCAGAGTCATCAGAGTGAGATAAACCTTGTCAAAACAACTTTACGTGCCAGAGCGTGAGGTTGGAGCTGCAGCAAGGTAGCAGGTAAGAGTTCACCGGGACGAGTTTCCATCTATGTAGTCGCTGGTAGGTTAGGAAAATCATGGCGGTGCTGGTTTTTGTAGTTGACTTCCAGAAAAGGGGACAAAGCAAAGAACATCCCTTTGTGGGTACTGTTTGTGACAAAAAACTTCAACAGAAACTAAGGAGTCGCGTCCAGGACAGCTGACTCTGTTACATTTTGAATAATATACTACTACAGAGTATTTTCATTGATATGAACTTCTAGAAACTTTTGACATACACATATTGAGAAATATATATTCAATGAGATTAAACCCAATAAGAATAGTAACCCTAAAGAGTTTAAGGTCAACGTGAAAAGGAAACCATATTGTGAGTAAAACTAAGACCACTATATTGATATAATTAAATTGATTTCTATACTTTATCACAAATTTCTAAGATATATCATACTCCCTCCGTCCCTTAATACTTTGCCAAAGTTGACCGACACGTGGATTAATAAAGTAAAAACTGTGTGGTTGAGGTTTGTGCAGAGGAAAGAGAATTATCTGGAACCACAAATTCTTTTCTTAAAAAGGAAAGTGGCAAAGTTAGTGGGACATCCAAAAAAGGAAAGTTGGCAAAGTTATAAGGCACGGAGGGAGTATTATATAATCTCTAATGTAAAGCATTTCATAGTACTCTAGCAAACATGATGCAAGTTCTCTAAATATGAGCTTTCCCAACTCATGTTCAGATTGTGATTTTGCAAAAATCACAATGTTCAGATTGTTATTTTGCTATTACTCTTAATATTCCATTTTAATGCCCATAGGTCACTTCCCAACAGTTATCCCAGCTTAACTATAAATAAATGTTTTATATCGAGTTTTCCATGCAAGTTTGGAATATATCATTTAATCATCATTTTAATTCACACAAATTTAGTTGGTGTCGTGAACTTTGGCCTCAACTAACTGTTTAAAAATTACTACTTAGTTATCTATAAATTTCATAAAGATAATACAGTGACAACGTTTTTAGCCAGATGCCTTCATGTTGTAAGACTTGTAACACATTCAAGTACTGTCAAAATCATCATAGATTTATAGGTTTTCTTCACTTTCATGGTAAATACCATGAGACAATAATGATTTGAGATAATTGCAATTGTTATGTCACATTGTAACATTGGAGTGAAATCAACATACACATCATGGAATAGCTTGTCATCTATCATGTTGTATATTTTTTATTTTGAAATATTTAATTAACATTATCTAGTCATAACAGAATCTCATTGGCAATCTAAGCAGTGATTTTGACACATAAAGCAGGGTAGTAGGAATAATAAAAGGTATGCATTTTTGTGCAGGAATTCTTCAGATGCCTTGCAATTTGTCACACTGTACTCACTGAAGGTGATGAGTCCCCCGAACGTATTCGATATCAAGCAGCATCACCTGATGAGGCTGCTCTTGTTGCAGCAGCAAAGAACTTCGGTTTCTTCTTTTACAGGCGTGACACTTTGACTTCAAGCAAGCAATTTTTTTTTTAATTCTGTAATAGTGCTTTGTTGTCTATTGTCTGCATATCAAGTGGAAGGTAATACATATCCAATGGAGTGAAAGAAATCAAACAAGTTACTTCTTGTGTTCCTATTCATTTGTCTAGGTGGTCCACTTTTTTTTGTTTCTTTTCATATCTAGGAAATCTATGCACATTAAATCATTATTTCCCTATTTACCCATCTTATACTATTTATTTACCGTTTTCTCCTCAAAGACATTAATGGAAAATGGCTTTTGTAATGATGACTCTTTTGGAAAACATTAGAAGTGTGATAATCTTATCGCCTAACACATTGATGTGAATTTTCAATTTTATGATTTGGTCAACCTAGACATTTAAATATGAATGGAGGAAGTCTTAGGCCAGTGGTTGTTAGATGCTTAACTGCTTAATTCAAGTTATAGTTCCTTGAAAAAGTGTGCAAACACATGTGACATGAGCATGATATAATAATGTAATAAAAACATATAAGAATGAAGCAGGAATAAATCTTAAATTCTTAACCGTTCCTATTATCTGATTTTGTTAGAGTGTACCCTGTCTGAGATTCTGTTTGCAGCTTGACTTTCTGGTTCTGAATTACACAAAGATAATGTTGGAAAGGAAATAAGTTATTTTATGGGTGTTACTGGGGTACATGCATTGCAGCCAAAACCAGTTATGGTTGGTTTGATATTGTTATTAGGCTATTAGCCTTACTACTATTTTTTCACAGGCGTACTCCTACTATGGTTTATGTACGTGAGTCACATGCAGAGAATACTGGGAAGACTCAAGATGTTCCCTATGAGATCCTGAATGTTCTTGAATTCAACAGGTACTAGTTTTGTACCTTTTTGGTGAATTTAATTCCACATTCAAGTAATTGTAATTTGTAATTTGTAATTCAACTACACTTGGGAATGGTTTTCAACATTTTCTTTCTATTTAGTACAAGGAAGCGCCAGTCTGTTGTATGTCGCTATCCTGACGGAAGGCTTGTATTATATTGCAAGGTAATTGCTTCATTGGATTGGAATGTTAACATGATTGTAATGAAATGACTTATTTACAAACCTGCTTTCCCACAGGGTGCAGATACTGTAATTTATGAAAGACTCGCAAATGGTGATAATGCGTTGAAAAGAAGAACAAGGGAACACTTGGAAGAATTTGGAGCGGCTGGATTGCGCACACTTTGCTTGGCATATAGAAACTTAAGTCCAAGTGAATATGAAAGGTGGAATGAAAATTTTGTCCATGCAAAATCCTCTCTTCAAGACCGTGAAAAGAAACTGGATGAGGCATGCAAATACGTTTTTTTAACATTTCATATTAGCATGTTTGATAGAATGTAGTTTGTTTTCATTGAAGAGTGGTTGCAGATCAAAGATGAGATATTTTTATCATTGAAGACTTTCACAGCATGCACTTAGATGTTTAGGATTTTTTTTATTGAAGTGGACATCAATCTAGAAAGGAAATCATGACGCTGAGTATTGCTAGACTTTGAAATGGGCGGAGCTGGACCAAAACTTAGCATGTAGAAACTGAGCTGTCATGCATATGGGTCAAATTGAAAATTAAAAGTCAAATCCAATAAATAACCTAGCTTAATTCATAACATCATGTGCCCATCTGTTATGTTCTATTTTCTCAATGTGGGATACTCTTCAACATTCTCCCTCAAATGAGCATGTCATTTTAAAACTATTGAGTCACTCATTTGTAATTGCATTTTCTCCAGTGAAACTGAAGCTCAAAATCTATTCAATTGAACCACTCTAATATTAGATATGAGGCATCCCGGAATTGAGTCCATATAAAAAATGTACTATAGTCTATAGTGGAACCATAAGGGTCAAAACAAACCAATTACCAAGTTCATTCCATTGCATCATATACCTCTGTTGTGCAGTTTTTTCCTGAATGGAACATTATGTGTAGTGTACTCTCTTGTTGGATAGTAAAGCATATATTTATTGGCATATTTTATTTCGTTTCTTTCCAATGTGTCCCTAACCAGCACCTCAAAATATCCTCTTTGTTGTTATTCATATTCTTATTATTATTACTAATTTAGTATCAGTATTTTAATATTATTATTGTTGTTATCGTTAGTTCTATTGTTAGTGTCACTATCATCGTCATGATTATTATAAATTCATAAACATTATTCACCACCAGTCGCCACCACCACTAGTCCACTATCATCATCAAAACCATTATCAGTGTTTTACAAGTATACGGATCCATTACAAAATTCTTTGGGTGCTTGGTAAATTAAAGGGTATGCCGGTATTGGAATGGGTGTGATGGTGGAGGGGCTGGGAATGTAAATACTTTGACTCCCATCCTTTTTTGGGGTTTGGTGGTTTCATTAAAAGTGGAGAGTCGTATAACTATACACCTTTCATTAATTCCTCCCAAGCATTCACTTTGATTCCCTCCTCTTAAACTCTTCAACCGAGCACAACAGTATTGGTTCCACAAGAATTATATTTTGATCAATCTGATTTGTTTTTCTGAACGGTTACTTTGTTTTATTTTGATGGATAAGCCAGTGTCTAGACTAAGATATAATGGTTTAATACTTATTTGTATACAGGTTTTTTTTATTCATGAATTTTGGTGGAAACGGCTTCACTATATATCTAAGCATGCTAGTCTTATGCAGGTGGCGGAACTCATAGAAATGGATCTTGCTTTGATTGGATGCACTGCCATAGAAGACAAACTTCAGGAAGGAGTGCCTGATTGCATAGAGACTCTCTCCAGAGCTGGAATAAAAATTTGGGTACTTACGGGGGACAAGATAGAAACTGCAATAAATATAGCTTATGGTGTGGATGCCTAAAACATACATTTGTTACACAGAAACACAACCATGCATATCTGACGGTCTGACCTTTTTTTTCATTTCTGCAGCATGCAAGTTGATAAGTAACAGCATGAAACAATTTGTTATCAGTTCAGAAACTGATGCTATCAGAGAAGTAGAAGATAAAGTAAGCACTTTCCTTTGGTGTAGTGGCTAGCATTTTTACAAAACATATCGTTACGTTAACAATTTTTGTTGATTCTATACTAGGGTGACCAAGTGGAGGTTGCTCGTTTTATAAAAGACACAGTGAAAGATAAACTTAAAGTGTATGATGAGGAAGCCCGACAATATCTTTGTTCTGAATCTAGACCAAAGTTAGCACTTGTTATTGATGGGAAATGTTTGATGCATGCGTTGGATCCTAGTTTGCGTGTAATGCTCTTGAACTTGAGCTTGAATTGCAGTGCAGTGGTTTGCTGTCGAGTCTCTCCTTTACAGAAAGCACAGGTGAGTTATTTTATGTGATTTCTTTTCATCACTCAGAACATTAACAGTTTTACAGATTTAAAGTAAAATCATTCTTTTCTATAGTTATGTGAGAGCCTGCAGGCGATAGATGAATAGAGATCAAAGTTATGTCTGCAGAACAAAATTGGTCATAATGTCTATCGGTGATAGATGTTGTAGATTACCTTTCTGCTTGCAGGTGACTAGATTGGTTAGGAAGGGAGCTCAGAAAATAACTCTTAGTATCGGTGATGGGGCTAATGATGTTAGTATGATTCAAGCTGCCCATGTTGGTGTTGGAATAAGTGGTCAGGAAGGAATGCAGGCAGTAATGGCCAGTGATTTTGCAATTGCTCAGTTTCGTTATCTCACAGATTTGCTACTCGTCCACGGACGCTGGTCATATCTGAGAATTTGCAAGGTTTGTAATACTTCAGCTATCTATAATCTTCCATACATACCAATTTAATGCTTTACTTCAATTAGAAATTCATGTTGGTAAACTTCTTGATGCAGGTTGTGACATATTTCTTCTACAAGAATCTGACATTTACCCTGACGCAGTTTTGGTTTACTTTCCATACTGGATTTTCTGGTCAAAGGTTTTATGATGATTGGTTCCAGTCCCTGTACAATGTTATCTTCACAGCCATGCCTGTGATTGCTCTTGGGCTTTTTGAAAAGGTACTGAAAGTGTTGTATTGTTTTTCCATGGCATTTGCGCATACTATGGAAGTGAGAGATATTCAGTCACTGTTTCCCTAGTGTATGATGACACTATGATGATGTAAGCTGTTTTCATTTATTGTAGGATGTCAGTGCATCCCTTTCGAAGAAATATCCCGAGTTATACATGGAGGGAATTAGAAACACTTTCCTCAAATGGCGAGTTGTGGCTGTTACGGCTTTCTTTGCAGCCCTCCAATCGCTGATATTGTACCATTTTGTAACTGCTTCTAGTACCAAGAGCATGAATTCAGCCGGCAAGATATTTGGCTTGTGGGATGTTAGTACAGTGGCCTTCACTTGTGTCGTATTAACTGTCAATTTGCGTCTCCTAACAATGTGCAATGCAATTACAAAGTGGCATCAACTTACCGTTGGTGGGAGCATATTGTTATGGTTCATATTTGTCTTTATTTACTCTGGCATTCTCTTGCCAAAAGCCCAGGTGGGATTTTTACTTTTAAACATTTTTGTCACTCGCTTTTGTATTCAGCCAGACTTTCTAATCCAATCCAATTTCAAATGATCAACAGATAAACATATATTACGTCATATATGTCGTGATGAGTACATTTTACTTCTACATCATGCTGCTTCTAGTTCCTGTTGCTGCACTTTTTGGCGACTTCTTGTATCAGGGGTAGGATAAAACTTTGGAACTATGTTGTGCTTTGATTTTACTTATATATTAATGGCTGTTTTGTTTCACGGTGAACCTAGTTTCTTTTAGGTTAAATTCTGGATTCACTTCATTTTTTAATCTTTTATGACGAGAACCTAGTTTTTTAGATTTTTTGGAAACCTAGGTTTACCTACTTAGAGAACCTCCAATATCCCCCTATTTTGAAGAACTTGCGAATCAGAGTTTTTTGAAGGTTCTCTATATAAGTATTTTAATATGTTCACTTAGTTTAACCTCTATCCAAATTAACTTTTAGTGTATCCACCATGGCTAATCTTATAATTATCCACATGATAATTTTATATATGCACTTGGGTTTACCTAGATTCACCAAACATTTACAAGCCTAGGTTCTCTTAAGTTCACCAAGTTTAGTTTGCTATATCCAAACAATGCGTAAATGCGATGTTGTGTTAGTGGGGGGTTCACTTGAGTTGATCCTTTTTTCTCTATATTTTCTTTCAGGGTTCAAAGATGGCTCTTCCCCTATGATTATCAGATTATTCAGGAAATTCACAAGGATGACATTGAAACACTTGATATGGGATTATTGGATATTGGAAATGAGCTCACACCCGATGAGGCAAGGAGCTATGCGATGATGCAACTCCCAGGAGAGAAAGAAAAGCACACTGGTTTTGCTTTTGATTCGCCCAGTTATGAGTCCTTTTTCGCTTCTCAGGCAGGTGTGTCCGCCCCTCAGAAAGCATGGGATGTTGCTCGGCGAGCGAGTGTGAGAAAGTTCCGATCAAAAGCTCAAAGGAAGAACTGAGCCTACATCCTTTTAATTTGGTTGGAAAAGGAAGGCATCTTTTCCTCATCATTCCAAGCAGGGTAAATTTCCGGAGGGGTTCAAAATCTGATGATTTTCCATATCAGAATTCTTTGGTGATCTCATGATCTTTCCTATGCAAATTTTCCTCCTAGTCAATTCACTAATAGCTCTCAAGTGCCATGTGAAATCTTGAAACGGGGAACCCACTCGAGTGTTTAGGCCACCTGATTAGCAAATGCCATGCCAAAATGCCTATAACTCTTTAAGGTCATTATGTTTAGTATTACTCTTACAAACTAATTCGAAAAGGACTTTTTTATTTTCAATTTCTGCAAATTTATTTGTTGAATAAAGTCTTTTTAAAGTAGCCATCTGCAGGGCAAGTTTTTGACTGAAGTCCACTGACAACTTATTTTGGACTAGAGTGGATTTGGCTTCTCCTAAAGGAGAGGATCCATATGGAGGTTTTGAATTACCCAAAAAAGGCATTTGGAATGTTTAGTCCCACATTGCCTTTAAAATAATCACACGTATTCATTAAAGTTTTGTGGAGGCGTGATAGGGCTCAGCTTATCACATACATGAGGAGTGGGGGTCAACAAAGTGTTGAAGACTGGATCAGTACATGTTCCCCTTTTTGGCCTTCTGTACTGAATGGCTAGCTAGTTCCAATTCTTGTAGTACGGCTCAGCTTAGCAGTTAGCACGCATGCTTCTGCTGTGTCTAAAGTCTCTTTGAGTGGGCCGTTGGCCTCCACTTTGGGAGTTTGGGGCGAACTTGGTCCAATTCTGAGTGACCTAAAGGGCGGTTTGGGTATCACCAATTCTATTTTCGGTTATGCTTGGGTTGATTTCAGTTGTTCCATAGCATGTGAAGTAATTAGGTCGTGACTTATTTGGAGAATCCGGTTTCGACTGATACTTGTTCAGTTGTTCTGGGTAAAAGAATGTTGATACGATGCTAGTCCAGTAACGGGACCCAACCGCCCCTAAACCTCCTTTTAATAATTGTTCTGATGTAATGTGAAAAGTATTAAAAGACTTTGATTCATAATATTTCTCTCATTTACATAATTTTAATTATATTGTTTTAATTTTTCAATAAATGTGTCAAGTCAAATAAAATGGAGACTTACTTGTAGCCCTATTGGTACCTCATTTTTGACTTATCAGGCTTATTAACCAACTTTTTTATCAAACATGTAACTTTTGATTTTGTGCATTAAATTGTGTAAAAATAAGAAAAAGTAAGGTTGAAGATATTTTTATGGCTATATGGGTTGAAGCTACTATAGAGGATCATTTTAACTATTTTTTTCATATAAATCTTTATTTTATTAATAAAATACTCTCTCCGTTCTCTAATACTTGTCTTTCTTTCCATTTTGGGGTAGTCTCTAATAATTGTTTTCCTTTACATTTTTAGAAAGTTTTTTCAAAAAATATACTTATATACCCTCATTCTCTTTCCTACCTTTTCATTTTCTTTCCTACTTTATCAATTAAACACAATTCACTACACCTTTTACACTACCCATATTATTTTTCTCTTAAAACTTGTGTCAAATCCTATAAGGACATCTAATGGAGAACTGAGGAAGTATATTTTAAACATTTTATATATATACATAAATCAGCAAAATCGGCCAATCCAACCACATCAACCAGAATTTCATAAATTTCAGCAGAATTAATCAATATAACCGATTTGGGTATTGTGAAACGGGCCATTAGAGTCGGAGGGAGTACAATACAATGAAACAAGAGTAAAAATAATACTCCCTTCAGCCTTTGTTCGCTCGATTTTATCAACTTTCATTTTTTATTTGGTTAAAAAATTTTGTCACTCTCCCTTTAAAGCAACTTTGTCACCCCAATATGTCCTTTAGTTCACTCAAAATTTAATACGGAGTAATAAATTAAAACAATACTCTCTCCGTTTGTGGTAATGTTCAATGTGATGGATGTAATATTGTTTCAAAATAGTACTATGAAATACGACTTATATTTTTTACTAAATTGGATTAAATTCTTATCATTCTGAAACAGTCTTGGACCCGGTTCAGGCCGCCCGGCCCGTGGACCGGCCCGGCCCGCTACTGTGCGGGCCCGGAACCGGCCTGGTTCTCGGGTCCGGGTCCGGCTCAGTGCCCGAACCGGTGAGGGCGGGCGGGTCTGGGCTCAGTGCTTGGTTTTGGCGACCCGACCTGGCCGGGTCGGGCCCGGGTCCGGGCCTAACGGCCATAATTTAATTTTTTTTCCCATTTAACTTGTAAAGAGCCGTTTGGCTCTTGACCCACATCCCAAACGGCTATATAGCCGTTGGGTGGGTACCAGGGGGGTCCGGGGCTTTTGGGGGTGGGGGTTAAAAAAAATCTATAAATACTCCTAATTTTAAACATTTTTTCACACCTCTTCTCCAACTCTTCCTAAATCCTACTCTCTACTCATCTCCATATTCATCTTCTCAAATTCTCTTATTCTCCATTACATTTTATTTTACTATTTAATACTTATACAATTATTATATCTACTTATATATTAATTATCTACTTATAAATACATATACTATATTACTTATATTTCTTATCTACTTAATCTCTACTTATTATCTATTTATATCTACTTAATACATACATACATACTACATCTACTTAATATATACTTTATATATTAAAGTATTAAATATACTTTATAAACTATTGGTATATACTTAATACATAATATTATCTACTTCTCTACTTATATTTCTTATCTACTTATTTTCTTATTCTCCAATCTCCATTATACTTTACTATTTAATTCTTATACAATTATTATATCTACTTATATATTAATTATCTACTTATAAATACATATACTATATAACTTAAATTTCTTATCTACTTAATCTCTACTTATTATCTACTTATATCTACTTAATACATACATTCTACATCTACTTAATATATACTTTATATATTAAAGTATTAAATATACGTGTATTACTCATCTTATAGTAGTATACTTATATATTATATACTATAAACAATATATTATATATTAGTTACACTTTAATTAATATTACTTAAAATCATTCTATTACTCATTTACTCCCATTAATTATTATACACATTCATACATTTGTTTTATTACTTACATTTTGTATTAACATTACTTGATTAGTTAATTAGTATTCCCACTAATTGTTACATTTTTCATTATACTAGTTAATTAGTTAATTAGTATTCCCATTAATTGCTAAAACAACTCTACTTTAAAAAACTACTTAATTGTCATTATAGTTAAAGTCACATTATAATAGTTTGAATTTATATTTGAACGAAAAAAGAGTAGTTCAATCATTTTATTAAAGTACTTAACATTTTATTAAAGTAGTTTTCACTAAATTAAAGTACTTGAAAAGTTGCTATAATTTTATTACTCACATTTTAGTTAAAGTCACACTTGTTAGTTTTAAGTATTTATTAAAAAATACTATTGATTGGTTCGAATTTTAATTTGTATTTTAGAGTCACTTTAATTCACTACTTAATTAAAGTACTTCACATTTTATTAAAGTAGTTTTCACTAAATTAGTTTGAAGTATTAATTAAAATAGTTTTAATTACTTGCATTACTTTTGTAGTCATTATTATATTTGTTGCAAATTAATATTTGTTACATTTTTAAGATGAAAGGTGGTAGATATTCGGTTGATTTGGGTAACTTCGAGCGCAACCGAAGGAACGAGATTGGGAGGAAGAAATCCCGCAAAGGTAAAGAACTTGCCGGCTCTTCTTCTCAAAGCCGAGATGATTTTGAAACGGGTTACCAAAGGAGGGATGGAGATGTGATGTCCGAAGAACAACTACAACAAGAATTGGGCCGACATAATAACTGCTTTCCCCAACAACAACAAATCCCGACGACCATTGACGAAGATGAGCTTGAGGATGAAGATGCGGAGGAAATGGAACCGGAGACGGCCGAGGAGGAGGGTGGCGGCAGCCACGACGGCGACGAGCCTGCCTCATCCCAAACCGCCACCGGTAATAAAAAAAAAGTAAATCTGAACTAATGAAGAATAATTTTGATAAGTGGAAGGAAACACAAACCGGGTATTGGCACGCAACTTGCAAGTGGTGCAACAAAAATTATAGCTTGGGGACCTCCAGCGGATATGGATCCGCCGCAAGGCATCTTAAGGCAAAGCACCCCGTGGAGTACGCAAAATTAGGCGGCAGAACGGAGAAGCAAACTCAAATATCGAGGTTTGCAAATTCTCGACCTTTTGGTAATTTCTCATACAATGATGCACAAAATTTGACTCGTATGGCTAACTTAATTTGTGAAGAAAATTTGCCTTATATGTTTTCTGAAAGTCTTGCTTTAAGAGATTATGCATGCGGTAGTTTAAATTCTCAATTTAGAGGTTATAGTCGCAAAACTGTTAAGAAAGAAATTATAAGGCTTTATGGTGCGGAAAAGGCAAGGTTACAAATTTTTTTTTGCAAACTTTGATGGGCGTGTTACTATTTTTTTGTAATTTTTTTTGTAAACTTATTTTACAATATGTATAATTTTCAATTAAAAAATATTTAAAAATTTTTTTTAAAAAAATAGCTCCCAAACGGCTATATAGCCGTTGGGGCTTTGGGTGGGGGGCAGGGGGGTCCCGGTGGTGGTGGTGTGGGGAGTGGGGTTCAAAAAATTCTATAAATACATCTATTTTCTAACATTTTTCTACACCTCTTCTCCAACTCTTCTCCATCTTCATCTTCTCTTATTATCCTACATTCCTACTTATACATCTACCATTTTAAAGATGGAAAGTAAATCTTCTCTTATGCAAAACAATTTTGATAAGTGGAAGGACCTGAAGACCGGACTGTGGTGGGTAACTTGCAAGTGGTGCAAGAAAGAGTGTAGCTTGGGACGTTCACACGGATACGGGATGCCAATAAAAAATATGAAGTCCTGTGACAAAGGCAAAACAACAACCAACGGTGGCGGAAATCCCAATTGATATTTATTAGAAAATGTATTTCATATTGTTATTTTTTTCTCAATTCTCAAATGTAGTTCCTATTTCAAATAAATGCACTTGAACTTTGTTTTTAATAAGAATTTGTCTAAACTATAATTAAAAAAAATTAAACATGACCCGGCCCGGCCCGGCGGGTGGCCCGACCCGTGACCCGGGCGGGTGACCCGGCCCGAACCGGCACCGGCTATAGCACGGGCCGGTCCTGAGCCTACCTCTAATAAACCCGAGGCCCGACCGGGCCTTGGCCCGACCCGGGTCCATTGTTCTGAAATAATATAAGAGCATCTCCAATGCTAAAACGTGAATGGTGCATACGTGGCATGAGAGTAGCCAATAAAAAAATAATAAATTGAATATCTCTCTCCTTATTTGAAGGATCATATATTATTTTGGTAAGTTTTTGACATTGTGTTTGACATTGCAGAGGAAAACTTACTAGAAAAACATAAAACCGTGGAAAGAATGAGAGAGAAATGTCATAAATTCAATTTTTTGTGTCTATCTCTCTTATGTCACATGTGCACCGTGCACATTATAGCATTGGAGATGCTCTTATCATAATTGACATTATCAGGCATCCATGTAATAGTAGTAATGTCATAGTTTGTACTATTAATGACAATAACTATTACTCCGTATAACATTGGGAAAATATAGTACTCTTGTTTTAGAAAACCTTAATATCTCTACTCATGATTAGAGCAATTTGTGTTTATAGTATTCCTCTTCTTTTTTTAATTGCGAGTTTTGTACTATTCACAAACTCTACTTTGACTACATTTTACTTGTTAATATGAAATCTTTCACAGTATGAGAAAGACAATAAAAAATGGGACTAATTAGAAATGAAATATTTTAATGATCAAAGTTGTGTACTGATAAATGTGAAAAATGAACCTGTTGCAAACTTGCAATTAAGAGAGAGTGAATGAAGTATTCGTTTAGTTGTGTCACTTATTTGGTTGCAACTTATGTCATCGCTCTACTTTGACTACTTATTTTGAGAAAACAAAAAATTTGTAAAAAGGTTG